CGCTATAACTACGAGTATAACTCTATAATCTAAATTGTATATAAGAAGTCAGTAGGTACAGTAGCTTAATGATCTGGCTTGTTACTAAAGGCAATAAAAATTAATTCTGTGATTTAAAGGGTTAAAGTCTAAAGGTCAATTAAAGTGCATCAATAGGAAAATGGCAACAATCCACACTCAAGATAGTAAGTAAATAACGAGCGCGTGCTCCTCCTGCACATGTCCAAACATTTCACGGCAGCAGCACGTGCCGCCATCTTGGCAGCACTGACGGATCGCCGTCATGACAGCAGATGCTCTGGAGATGATTCACTTACCTACTAGTTTACTGCGTCGAAGTTAAGCGAAGACTGATGTCATGTCACAGAACTCTCCAAACAACAACATGATAGCTACTATACCTTACCGTGATCTTTATTGAAAATGCAGCTCAAATCAGCAAATCTGCAGCCAAAGTATTGCTTTAACCCGCTTAAATTTTTCACTATTTTCAACTCACCTAATTAAATTGCCCTTTTAAGTCTCAATTAGATTCGTAAGGATTTAAAGAAATAGGCCCTCAGTCTAGATGCACGTCAATCCTTTTACCAACCTGCCACAAAAATATTCTGGAGCTTGTACCCAGTAACCTCAACTTTCCTCCAACAAACCATAACCCTTTATCGCTCATGTGGCACATTAACATGTAGTAGGTACTAACCTACGCTACTGGGAACCCATTAGCCACAACCAGTACCTTGGGAAGTGCCAGTGGCNCTCAATCCATAAGGCTTTTCACTTCAACCGCGCCGTTAAAAGTTTCTTCACATCACATTAGAAACTGGACGCTACTTTGTACAAGTGCAACGAGTTTAAAATGGGACTCCTTTGAATGCAATAAGACCACAGCGGACGGGATTACTCATCCGCATTTCTGTCTTTATGTCCAAATGCAGCTTGCATTCCATTCAATAAAACTTCATGTTACAAAACCTACGACGTTGAACATTAATAGCATTAACTGCAAATAACAATACACGGTCCATCGTTTGCTAGCAGTGCGTTGATGACATGCTAAATATTTGTCGAACTAATGCTTCCTCAAACACTTCAGGATGACAAAGCTGTTTAACGAAGAACGTAATTAACATACAGTGATGCCCAAAGACATGTTCATAAAGGTGTTTTCTATTTAAGCAATACTCATCAGAAAGTGGAAAGGTAGAGAAGCAAAATAAACAACTGGGTGGCAACATCTGAGATCAGAACACAATCCTGATGTCAGATTTTGTTTGGATATGTAGAGAATATTCATAACACTTACCTATTTGATCACAAAAAACAGATACGAGTTAGATTGTATTATTTCATTTTTGTCACCATGAAAGAACCTAACAGCAAGCAAAGGACACAGTTCCAGCTAAGAGTGTTTCCGGGCTGGCGTGCGTCCAGCGCCCGGGTCCGCTCACGCTGCATCCGCTAAATAGCCGCCGCGATTACACCAGCATGGCGCTTGATCTTGAACTGCATTTAGGATCTGTACCTTTGCTATTAGTGTCTGTTTCTAATCCGCTGAATATCTATTGAAAGACCAGTCGATATGTCAACGTGAAATTGTGAACTCTGTCAGTTTATAATATAACGCGTTAGATTGTAAACTAACAGAGGGTTAGGTTAGGTTCGATTGTAATTTAACTACGTCAGATTATAATCTGACGGAATTTACAATTTTACGGTGACAGATATACCTACAGCAGTGGGCAACCATAGATGCAACTAAAGTTAAAAATCAAATCTGTGCTAAGTTTGAAAAGGTCATTTTAATTTTTTCGTTTCGTAACTAATACAATCTTACAATAACGAACCTATAAAAAATCAATGAAAGGCTATCATCATACGACGAATTGATTACACAAGCGCGTCGACAAATTGGCGTCAAATTATAATGTAGACGCAACCACTCGTGCGCAACTTCAGCAATATCAATGGGCTCATTCATCACACTACCATTGATGGAAAAAATAGGTCGTCCCTAATGCGCCAGACACACCCAATTTTTAAATTGATTCAACGAGTTCAAAGCAAAAACTTGTAATCTAAACCCTGAAATCGTTCAGTTATTTTCTATTGCCATCGACATTTTATAACCAACCAAATGAAACCAGTTTTCTCTAATTCTCTAAACTTTTATAACGTCAGAAACACGCGTACGGCTGCGATTTACGAGATTCTCATAAAGTTATATTTATACTTGAACATCTTTCATTGACCAGAAAGTCCATTAACTGACCAGGAAGCTCCGTCAGCCATGAAACCAGACCGACGCGAGATTTATTCGCAAAAGTAATAAAAATCTACAACTAGCAGTACCGTAGTATATTTGTACTGGAAGGCCGATGAGATGCGGGCGTAGCCCTTGGAGAACAGATAACCCATTTGAGTGACGAATAAGAAAGCTTTTCAATCAAGTCCTTTGGAAAAGAAAGCCGGCCTAGATCTGGCATTAGATTTTTGGTGCAGTTAAATAAACGTGGTTCGTATTAAACTATTTGTTTTCAATTCCGAAGGACACGAACTTCTTCTCAGAGGCGACTGATCTTTTCTATCTGTGACGTATATTTATTGGATTTTCGGCGATTACCCTCCCACACGGAAAAATGGCGAACCTCAGCTGCGGTCTATTTGTTATTGCAGTGATATAACTTGTGTAACATTAAATTAGCTCGGCACTGACCTTGACTAAAAGTCTCGATAACTGCAAATGTTTACAAAAATAACTACATACAAATAATAATAAACTCGTAGTGTGATTTTTAGATCTCAGGAGATTTAGAAGCATGTTTATCTGTGGGGCTTATTTATTGCTTTATTGCGTCGACTCAAGAAAAATTGGATCTCGACCGGAATCGAATAGCAATATCGAGTATTGCCGACCTCAATTCAAAACCGCATTACCACAAGCCTTCGTAGACTGGATAAACCTTACACTGTGGTTAGACACCGCTGGAGCTACAACAGATACATACATATCCTAGATAGACAATACCAAATCATAACGATGAATGTCTTATTTTGATATACTCCAAAATTGGCTCTCTAGGTACATTAAACTAAATAATAATATGAAGATTCTTATTTAAATGTCCATTCAGATTCTCATTCTGTCAAAATATCAGATAATAAATAATAAGCAAGAGGAGCCGTCGATCCTAAAGATCTCTATATTTTCAAGAAAGTAGCGCACTATAAAATGTAGTTTCTAATAATGATGCTCATAAAAATGTTAAAGCTGACATTTACCACACACTTGAAGAGTTTTTCAAGGGTTTTCCAATTATTTAAAAATAAAAGAGAGTGCCAGAGGAAGGGCGCTCCGACAAGGTCTTTTCCACTACGATAGTTGCCTGAAATAGACGCGTGAAACTCGATGATTTCTTAACGTTCGCATGCTGATGTCATGATGGGACAATGTGCCGTATATTTTTAGGAACACGATGTTCTATGTAAACAGTAACCAAACAATACTTTGGCTCGCGCAAGATATTAACGACCTTCATCTGTTCAACCCCTTTTCTTGAATTTCCCATGTAATGAGTGTTAAAAAATTCTCTAAGATTCGACGTTACAGCAATCATAGTTTAAGCTTTTAAGTTCAAACAACAATCCATTATTTGACATAGTCTCTAACATTATTATAAAGAGGTAAAGTAGGATGTAAGATTGTGAGTTCGTTTGTAAGAAGCGTTCTTGAAGCGTTCTTTGGCCTTTTAGTTTCATGTTGTCCAGTTCCTGTGCTAACCAAGACCTTTTGCNTTATAGTCTAGTGAAGGACACGCACTTTTTCTCAGAGGCGACTGATCTTTTCTATCTATGACGTATATTTATTGGATGTTCGGCGATTACCCTCCCACACAGAAAAATGGCGAACCTCAGCTGCGGTCTATTTGTTATTGCAGTGATATAACTTGTGTAACATTAAATTAGCTCGACACTGACCTTGACTGCAAGTCTCGATATCTGCAAATGTTTACAAAAATAACTACAAATAATAATAAACTCGTAGTGTGAGTTTTAGATCTCAGGAGATTTAGAATTTATTGCTTTACTTATTGCGTCGGCTCAAGAAAAATTGGATCTCGACCGGAATCGAATAGCAATATCGAGTATTGCCGGCCTCAATTCAAAACCGCATTACCACAGGCCTTCGTAGACTGGATAAACCTTACACTGTGGTTAGACACCGCTGGAGCTACAAGAGATACATATATCCTAGATAGACAATACCAAATTATAACGATGAATGTCTTATTTAGCTCCAAAATTGGCTCTCTAGGTACATTAAACTAAATAATAATATAACGATACTTATTTAATTGTCCATTCAGATTCTCATTCTGTCAAAATATGGAGCCGCCGATCCTAAAGATCTCTATATTTTCAAGAAAGTATTGAGTATAAAATTTAGTTTCTAATAATGATGCTCATAAAAAAGATAAAGCCGACATTTACACTTGAAGAGTTTTTCAAGGGTTTTCCAATTATTTAAAAATAAAAGAGAGTGCCAGAGGAAGGGCGCGCTCCGACAAGGTCTTTTCCACTACGATAGTTGCCTGAAATAGATGCGTGAAACTCGATGATTTCTTAACGTTCGCATGCTGATGTCATGATGGGAAAATGTGCCGTATATTTTTGGGAACATGATGATCTATGTAAACAGTAACCAAACAATACTTTGGCTCGCGTAAGATTGACGATACTTTCATCTGTTCAACCTTTTTTTCTTGAATTTTCCATGAGTGTCAAAAGATTCTAATATGGTTCGATTACAGGAATCATAGTTTAGTCTTCTTAGTCTAGAACACAAACAAATTATTTGTCAGTCTTTTTAAGTACTAACATTATTACAAAGAAGTAAAGTAGGATGTAAGATTGTGAGTTCGTTTGTAAGAAGCATTCTCTAACCTTTTAGTTTCATGTTGTCCAGTTCCTGTGCTAACCAAGTCCTTTTGCTTGTCCCGCAGGAGACAGTCCGCAGCAGCGGCGGCAAGGTCAGCAGCACCCGCAGCGTCGAGGAGTTCGACCTCGAGCAGTGCTGGGACGAGCGCGTCTTGAGGAAACTCGTGAGTGTCTTCATCATCATCACCATTATTGACATCATCCATCCACAGTTAGATTAGCTGTCCCTTGAGCTATCCAGGTTTGTTCGATCCCATTCGGCGGCAATGAGGGTTTTCGTTAATGAAAAATCCGCCGGATAGCAATACGTGGACGCGAGGTCCAAATGCTGCATGATTGGTTATTTTTGACATGACATTGACAGATATGTCTAAATCCACCAATCACGCAGCAGTCAGACCCCACATCCACGTCCCGCCATCTAGCGGATCTTTCATTCGCGAAAACCCTCATTGTTTATTACAGTTTTCTTCTTTATCATTGACCCACTTCCTGATGGTCTGCCAACTGTTTACTTTTCGTATTTATTTGCCATCAACCTAAAATTTATACGGTCCAATGTTTTATCATTCTGTCCATCTATGACGTCACATATTTGACTAGCCAAATTGAAATTGATTTTTACTAAAGAACCAACCGCTCATCAGAGTCATTGAACTTTGATGTAATTGACCACTCATTGCTCTCACTTTCGTTATATGAAATTTAGTATGCTCATATGAGCTCACATGCTCCTATGCTTATTACGACATTGCATTCCAATATTGAACCGTATCTACATACCGAATGTTAATCAAATAATATTTATTGACTTAGGTGCTTTACATAAATTACATACAACTAAGTATGTGATTAATAAAGGTATGGCTGTCAACAGGTTGAAGTATGACTAGAATTGCTCTGAAATACGTCAAATGGCCTAATCAAATAATATTACCAGCAATGATTATCAAGTTTGCTGTGAGAAAACTTCATTGGGCTTCGCCGATGGACGTCCCCGGCTCATCCGGCTCACACCGCAGCGCGTACGGCACCATCATGGTGAAATTAAGAGTGCTACGACCACAACGTATTTACGTGTGGTAGCCTTAAATATCATGCTCGAAACGATTGTGGGGTAGTTTGTTCTAAAGGAAAACATATTTCATACGAACTTACGACCGATATTCACGAATAAATATTCATTTCATTTCACATGGGTATACTTAAGTAAGTGATATACCTTCTTAGTCTATTTGTAGTCACGTAGAGGTATTATCAGCTTATTAACTAGAGGTATTCAGGTATGTTTAAGATGTGATTGATTGTTGTCAATGTGATGCGCTAGTCGCAGCAACAAGCAAGCCCACTGCATGCGTTACACGTTACGTAGTTGCGCGTGCGGCCGTGTCTAACGCGGTTACAGCGCCGCGCGTCATGCCGTTATGTTGCGACTTGCGTGTCCGTTCGCGACGCTTCGTAAGACAATGGGAAAGAAATCTGGGGAGCCTAGCGACCTATGTAGCATTTTGACGTAATACCATCTTCTGAAACGCAACACTTGCATGCAACTTAACAAAGACCTTCTAAAAAAAGCGTATGTTAACTCTAAAACCTGGAAAATTATTATCGTTATTCCGTTCGTGATCCAGCTAGACCTATAAATTGACACAAGACAAGCTGAAACTCGTTCTCAGCGTTTATAAATTAGCCAAGTGAGAAACCACAGGGCGCGCGGCGATTAGCCGTGTGGCTGACGCCGAGACACCTGCCCGAGGCTGCTACAAGTTGTCCGGCTGACGACCGGCGGCCCGAGTCTAAAGAGGCAGCGACCAACAACATAATAACCCCCATGTTGGTACCCGCTGAAAACCAGCTTCGTGACTTGACGACTTGTGTGTGTCATGTCACGATTTTCGCTGAGCGGGCGCCTTTTCAGCATGGCTCAGTAATATTTAACCCCTGTACATGTATGCATGCACATAAATGTTAATGCTGAATAAAGGTATTCTATTCTATTCTATTCTAATTGTACTACACAAATACTCGTACTTATGTCGAAAGCGGTGGCGGTACCTGCAATCGACACGTATAATAACGAGAAAGCGAAAAATAAGATCGCTCACTGTTTGTCTGTTAAATATGGTGTCTCAAGTAGGGGAGACTGGGTACGGTTGAAACAATTTTGCTTTAATTGTCTATAATTTTGTTGTTTAATAACCAAGTGACGATTACGATACGTGAAATTGAAATTTGAAGTTTTAGCTATGATATGGCTGTATCATTATAGTTCCCGGGTTACTATTCATAGAAATATACGAAATTTAAAAAAAAAGAAATTTTGTTTCAACCGTCCCCATGCCAGGGGCGGTTGAAACAGCGATTGGAATCTATTGAAATACATACAAATAATACAAAAAGTACTAATAAAACGTGTTTTATTTATCATTAATACTACGAATATTAAAATTATGTTACCACATGACGACATTAATCAGTCTAAGTATTTAATATTTCTAAAACATTAATTAGCCTTTGATAAGTAGTAAACATTTAAAAAAATAACAGAAATATGATTAACTAAACGATATTTCCAAACCTAATAAACATTAATAATAAAATAATATTAACATTCTGAATAAAGTTAACGAAAATCTTTTTTTGTTTTCAAACTATCCTTTTCCGCCGCTTTCCGCAGTGAACCTCCAGCTTTTACCTCCTCTTATGCTTTACTAAGTCAATTTCCTTTCTGGAAATATTCCTTACCCAAACTCTCGGTATCTACAAAAAATAAACATTAATAAATTTTCTGTTTCAACCGTACCCACAAAAAATGTTTCAACCGTCCCCAACCCCACTTTTGGTAAAATATACTTTATAGTTTCGACACTAATGATAACACATTAAAAATAGTTACTGGACCTTATTCTACAAGATTCATTTTAATCGCAAACGCACACTCGATACATTCACATAAAAAGAACAGGTAGTATAAGCGTTAATGTCTGAAGAAAAATACTTAGTTTTGGGTAGTAAAAAACAATATGGCGTTTTGCACACAACGTCAACGCGTTAGGAAGTTTTAGGCATTAAATTCGTGTTCGGACCTGTTGTCCGCTTCTTTTTCCCCTAGGACCTCTAACTCCTCGCGAAACCGTTTACGAGATATTTGTTTGTTTCAACCGTCCTTTGTTTCAACCGTACCCAGTCTCCCCTATCCCACAAAGAGACATGATAATAAACAAAATAACCATCAAATTGACCAACCTTACCTCGTTTCAGCCAAATGACGTCCACTGCTGGACAAAGGCCTCCCCCAAGGTTTTCCACAATGAACGGTCCTGCGCTGCCCGCATCCAGGCTTTTCCCGCATCAACCTTACCTAGCTAGCCAATTTCATTGGTCAGAGTCTCGCTAACTTCTTATTGGAAGGCTTCAGCTCTTTCATCGTTTGATTGAATAATATCTAAAGTTTTCGGCCTTTATTTTCCCTTTTGAATAATTTCGCTGCCCGCCTGTGGACTGGGCCCGCACGTAATGGCGGGTAATCTGCCGGCGACAGCGTGGGAACTGCGCGCGCGCCGCCGGGACACCACTAGGGCTCGGAGGACACATTTGGGAAAAATACATTATTAATTGTATTACCTATGATTTGTAACATCCAATCCAATTGTGATGAATGATTTCATGTTTGACGGTAGACAATATGACATGTTGGTTGAAGAGAATCTCTGTTCATATGTGACGTTATTGTTAATTTAATTAGGCTCTGTTCTTAAAAGTCAATGAAATAATCATTATAGAAACTATGAACTCCTAATTCGTATGCTGTGCAATTTGGATCAGATTACCATTAGTAATTCACAATAATGACTATCAATTTGAATGGATACTGGAGCAGGTCAGATGACAATTAATGAAAAGTGATTTAGGGCAGTTCACTTCCGCGTGTCCACTTCCGGCACTGCCGCAATGCTTGTACGCACAGGCAAACACGATCGCAACTGATTTGGGACTTTAGCATCATAGACGCAAAGCGGATTATCTAGTAGAAAGCGGTTACAATGACAAACAATGTGAATGTGAGGAGAGGCTGCGCCAAAACGTGGTCACTCCGCGCGCCGCGCGCACGCACGGCTCAATCCGAAATATCCGAGTTAAATTAATCGCCAGTCATTTCTCGTTACGTGTGATATATTGACCACTTCAATACTTGTTAGTTATTGCGTTATTAGCGCTCCAAAGCTTTCTTTATCGACGTAGTGAATTTCACTAACACAGAACACTTGAGACGGGAGAGTATTGTACAATGTTGAATCAATATCGGGGGATAAAAGCTAATGTGATGGTGATTGTTTTTAAATAATCAAACACATTTGAATCAATTGATTCTCATTTTATTTTTAAAATAATTAACATTATATCGGTGCTAATTCGCGTTTCAGTTGGACGAGTGCACCGACTACGAGCAGCGTCGTCGAATACGCGCGCGCATCCGCAACCTCATGGCTGAACAAGAAGGTGAGTCTTCGCCCATAATGATGCCGAATGATCTCTATCGATCAGTCACCAATGTATCGTCGTGTTAAACGAATGCACTTTCTAACAACACCCGTACGTCCGCAGCGTGCGCGAGCGCCGTGACGGAGGCGCTGGCGGCGGCCGGCGAGCCCGCGGACGGCGACGCGCGCGGTGAGTCCCTCCTCCTCCCGCTGCTGCAGGGGCTGCTGGGCGGCGGCGGCTCGCGCCTGCTGGCCGGGCTGGGCGCGGCCGGCGCCGACGTGGTCGCCGACGTGCGCCGCTCGCTGGCCCGCCTGCGCGCCGCGCTCGCGCCGCCCGCCGACCACCCGCAGGCGCGCGCGCTGCTGGCGCTGGCCGACCGCCTCGAGGACGCGCTGCAGGCCGCCGACCGCCTGGACGGCTGCCGCCGCCGCCCGCGCCGCCGCAGCCGCGCCGCACGACACACCGTCGGCGTCACGCACGAGGAGCTCGCGCAGGCGCGCCGCCTCGTGGACCGCGACGCGCTCGCGCTGGGGGCGCCCGAGCTCGAGCCCGAGCCCGAGCCCGCCTCCAGCGGCGCCTCGGAGGCCTCCAGCCAGCCGCGCACGCCCGAGCGCAAGCCGAGCGTCGACGAGGACGTCAGCTTCCACGACGCGGTCGCCTCGCGGCAGAAGCCGGCGCCGATCCAGCACTCGGCGAGCTTCGTCGACCCCCCGCGGGTCAGCAGGGACGCGCGGGTCGTGGAGCGCCGGGCGCCGGCCCCGCGCAGGCCGGACTTCTTTAGGCACTCGATCGCGGACGGAGGCCAAACTCAACCGGTTCAGCGGCCGCAGCAACCGCTCCCGCAACCGCCGCAGCCACCGCAGCAATCGCAGCCTCTGCAACAACCGCAACCTCTGCAACAACCGCAACCTCTGCAACAACCGCAACCTTTGCAACAACCACAGATTCCCTTCCAAAAGGCGTTGCGTCGCGCGTCCGATGCCAAAAGTGGCATAGCCGCCATCGCCACTAAATTTGACGCGCAAGCGCGCGAGGCCGCCCCGGTTTATCCGCGACGGGTCCCGGAGCGTCGAAGGTCACCTCCTCCGGTGGCCGCGCCGACCGTCACCCAGAAACCGGTGGTCCGGGACGAGCCCAGGGTGCGCGCGCCCCTGTACAAGCCTCTCCCCCCGACTTACAATTTTGCAGCACCTCCGTCCCCGGCCGAGGAGATCTCGAAACCTCTCAACAGATTCAGCAACAACAAGCGGAGTCGCATGAAGCGCGCGAACACGATCGACATCGGCCGCCCGCTCGGCGGCTACAAGCTGGACAGCGACACCGACGACGACGCGCGCGGCCCCGCGGTGCCCAAGTTTCAACCTCAAACGGAGAACGATAGGAAATTCGTCGCGTTCATGCGTAAAAACGAGGAGAATCAGGTGACCGTCAACGGCCAATCGAACTGGAGCAGTCGATTCGGGAACATCAAACACGCGTTCGAAAGCCGCGAGCGGGACACCCACAGTCGATCGTCGAGCTCGTCGTCGGCGCGGCGCTTCTGGCGGGCGGCGGACGAGTCGCCCTCGCCCTCCGCGCCGCGCCCGCGCCGCTTCCTCGCCGACGTCACCAACAACAACGCCGTCAAGCCGCCGTGGACGGCCGAGCGCCGGGAGCCGCGCGCGCCGCTCCCGCCGCCCGTGCCGCAGTCCCCCACGAGGCCCGTCGTCGTCAAACCCTTCGTCGCGAAACCGATCCCGGTCAACCAATTCTCGCACGCCCCGATGTCGGCGTTCAAACCGCCCGCCAAAATCACGTCGCCCACGAGCGCCCCGGCCCACGTGTGGAGTCCGCCCTCGGTGCTGAACAGCGCGGCGTCCCCGACCACGGAGCCGCCTCCCCCCGCCTACAACGGCACGGGCCACCCGACGGTCGCCAGCCCGCCCGTCCAGAGCGTGCCCTGGGCCGTGCCCGAAAACGACCGGCCCAGGAGAGTCGTCAATAACGTTTTCAATAAATATGAATCCCCGCCGCCGCCGCCGATCGCCCCGCCCGCTTACAGCGAGAGACCGTACATACCCAACCTCCCCACGCCGCCGACTCACGCGCCCCCGCAGGTCCAAAGCTACCCCGTGAAGACCATTCCGAGCCAGAACCACCTCGCCGCCCCGGAGCTCGTGAGGAAAGTGGACGACGCCAAACCCTACGCCGGGTCCGCCCCGTTCGTGCCCAAAGTCGACGCGCAGAAACTGCAGATCGAGTTTTACGAGAGACAAATTCGGGAGCGAGCTCGCCACGAGCCGACGACCAACGGGCACGCGGAGCCCGCCGAGCGCGAGCCCGCGCCGCCCGCCTACACCGTCACCGACTACACGCCCGCCGACGTGTCCACCTTCGTGCCGCTGCAGCAGACGCCCGACATCGAGAAGGCGCGCGCGCACAAGGTCGACTACCTGCCCGACGTCGTCATGAACGAGCCCGACCGCGGCGCCCCGCCCGCCCACCGCGCGCGAGCCAGCCCCCGCGCGGGCCAGGGCCCGGCCCAGAACGGGCACGCGGGCCCGCTCGACGACGGGCCCACCACGGAGCACGGCAGCGTGGAGACGCGCGTCATGCGCGGGCCCGTGCGCGGCGCCGCCACCATCACGGCCGGCGTGCGCACGCGCCACGACGACGCGCGCCGCGACAGCCTCAAGGGCGCGCTCGACAGAGTCTCCTTTCCGAAACGCGACGCGGCCCACGTAGAGCGGAAAAAGCGCGAGGCCGCCAGGAGTCAGGTACGGGTCCCTGTACAGACCGGCCCCTCCCCCCAGCACGCGCCCCCAAAGCCCCGCCCGCCCCCCGTCGAGCCCGAGAGCTTCCCGTCCCCGGCGGGCCCGCGCAGCCCGCTCGCCGCGTCCCGCGAGTCCGTGCTGTCCGGCGGCTCCGGCGCCTCCAGCCCGCTCAGCCGCTCCGGCTCGTGGAGCCAGCTGGCCGAGCGCTCGCCGGCCGCGTCCCCTCGCAAGGTGGTCGCGCGCGCCAAGTCCATGCACCTGCTGGCCGTGCCGAAGCTGTTCGAGGGCGGCATCGCGCGCGACGAGCTCACGGAGAAGAAGAGGACCGTGGAGGCGTACTTCGGCGGGCAGGCGGCCCGGGCGCCGGCGCAGCGCCGCGGCCGGCCGGCGCCGCAGGCCTACTCGCTGGGCCGCAGCCGCACGATGCCGACGGTGGCGGAGCTGCAGTTCCTCGACGAGAGCAACGCCGACGACGCGTTCGAGGACCTGGTGTCGGCGCTCGCGTAGCGCCCGCGCACATTCCACTAGTTAGGACGGAGACGAGCGAGACGCGCGTGAGTCGTGTGTGTGTGGGTCTGTCGCTTGTGTCGCGCCCGAGCCGTGTCCGCACGCCGCATGCCCCGCCCCGCGGCCGAGCCTCCCCCGTGTCGTTGTACATATGTGTTACATCCGTATTCATTTCACCGATTCCTATAACAGTGTTATTTTGACTAATAGCTTATAAGTATCATCTGTATGTCTTGCTACTCGTTTTCCTAGTGTTCAGAGTTTAGTGTTAGCGCCGATCTCGTCGCGACTGAGAAATTTATGATTTTTTTCCGTTTGCAGAGGAAGAAGAAGTAACCACTGTGACATCGAGCGTGAGGAGGGACTCGTCTGAAAAAACTGTTAGCAGTAGTACCACTACTAAGTCTTCGAAAGGTAAAATTTCGCATTTAAGAATAGTTATTATCTGTAACGTTGACTCCGTGATATTAATGGTGATGATGTTTCAGTGATCGAGAGCATGAGCCGGCCGGCACCGAAGCCCGTGTCGCCGTTCGCCAAGTTCCGTCAGCTTGAGAAGCAAAATTCCACCAACAGTCCCAAGTAAGTTTAGTTCCAACCGACCGCGATCCCGAGAAATTATTGGTTTACGAGTAAACATTAAAATACACTAAAATCAAAACTAAAGAATATAATATGTACTTAGTAAATACGAAGACAAATTATTACGAGTTAGTACCAATATAATAAACAAATATTTATTATTCCATCTTTCTGCTTCATATTTAGTATAATACATATATTTATTTATTTTGGCAGCGATATCTCTGGATACGAATAAGGGATAAAACAAGTAAATATTAAAAATCAGTATAATCTTTATAACCAGTACAATAGTCGCTTCATTACAACGTTGTCTTACTCATACGAGAATAAGTATATACCTGCAATGGATGCAAACATAACTAAAAACTCAACTACATACTCACACGTATATGCTTGTTCTATAAAGGCATCGTGTTCATTCCAATCGACTGCTCGGCTAAAACGTAGCAAACGACATGACATGACGCAGCACTCGTTACTTGTAAATAACCAGTGATTGACATCGCGTCCATAACTCGCACACGCGTCAGGCACTCGACATGACAGCGCACCTAATACTGACAATCGCGCCGAGCGAGCCGCGGGACTAACGAGTACGAGCCGGCAGCGAGCGCCCGACTAACCTGAGCCCCCGGTTGTAGCTCGCCCAAGACTCCGCAGAGCCCGGGCTCTCCGTCGCAGCCGTACTTCAAGTTCACGGACCCCGCGCTGCAAGCCAGCGCCCTCACTATTAAAGAACGGTTGCTGCAGTGGTGTCGCGACAAGACCCGGGACTACGAGGTACACTTCACAACCGTCCTGCACACGCAACGCCCCACTACGTTTACTGCACCTGTGTACATAGACTCCGCACTTTCCAGTAGTATGTCGTCGATGTACACCGAATCTGTAAATCACAATAATGTTGCAACGTTGAATAGATTTCCATTGAACAACACTTTCAAGCTTATTTGATCCTGAAATATGAACTTATTGGGGTGTTTCAAAACATTTCAATGACTGATGTGCATTTTTCTATTAAATTGTTATTTGGCAATAACCATAACTGAGATCAATGATGTCAATGTAGTATATATTCTTCTGTACATAGTTACAAGAAAAATGTGCATCAGTGTAAGTGTACGGGCGCACGGATGTATCGGGTGTTAGCGCGTCGCCGGTGCTGCAGCATGAGGGCCGCGCGACATTAACACGGCTGACGTCACCACCACTAAGTTACACCGCTTCTCCTGACGCTTCATTTTGCCTACGCTATTTTCTGTATATATCCTATACGTAATACATTATATTATTTAACAATAATACAAAATATTACTTCTTCACATTATCATCACGTTACCAACTTATGTAATATCATAATTTTGTATGATAACATGAAATAAATATTTAAGTATGTGCTATAAATTACATGTTTATAATATTTACATTAAACAATAACGGCCACCTGAAGATGGAAGAGTGAATTTTGACATAAATAATTAACAGTCAACCGTTTTTTTTTATTAACTTTAGCATGTGTTGATTTTAGATATTTTACTCGAAGTGTGTGACTACATGAAATGAAATATAATGCATGAGTTTTCGTGATAATAACTGAAGTGTACTTTACAAAGAGAACTGTAAATAATGCCACAAACGTTAAGAAATCGAACACCCAACCACTAGATATTCGATTGTGTCACCTAGTTCCTTTAGAGACACGGTTGTAATGCACTAGACACCTGTAATTTCGCATTTATACAATGTAAATTAAACATGTTATGTTTGTTAATTAATAAGGTAGCAGTAGTTGTCTTTGTGATTGTATGTAAGATAAAACATAATGTAGATACTATTTCAATATTTGTAAAATATAATCTTAATATCTTACGTTTTTGTGTTTTATGTAAATAGTAGCTTTAGATTTTTTACAAGATAACGTGAATAAAAAATAAATAATATTAAAACGCCTAAAGAAACAAAAATAGAAACAGAGTATCAGGTATAAATCAGGAATTCCCCCAAAAATGTGTAAAATATTAGAGTAACGTGTGAACATTGTCGTTGGGACAGAATGTGAAGCTGGAGAACTTCTCGACGAGCTGGGCGGACGGGCTGGCGTTCTGCGCGCTGCTGCACCACTTCCTGCCCGACGCCTTCGACTACGCCGCGCTCACGCCCGACAAGCGCCGCCACAACTTTACGCTCGCCTTCAAAATTGCTGAGTGAGTACACGATCCTACTTCCTACTAATCCTACTAATATTATAAATGCGAAAGTTTGGATGTCATGATGTCTGGATGTTCGGATGTCTGGATGTTTGTTACTCTTTCACGCAAAAACTACTGAACGGATTTTGTTGAAACTTTACAGTATTACTGTTTATAACCCAGATTAACATTATAGGCTATAATTTATGACGATATGTGACATACTAAATTTCACGCGGGTGAAACCGCGGGCAAAAGCTAGTAACTTCATAAGCATAGTGTACCTCGATCGCATGCTTCCCTTTTCCATCAACCGGAGTTGATGAGAGTTCACAAAAAAATTGTCCATGTAAAAGATTTGCTATTAGATTTTCCGTAAGCGATCGCAAATCGTTTGGTTCCTAAGTTTGGAAAGAAATGAGAAGATAAATATCCTGACAACATTAATTATCCAACCCCCTAAAACAAACTAACAATCCCTATTTGTAACAGGCTTGGGCCACGTGATACATCTAACTATGAGATACATTTTGTAGCCAGAGCGAGCGTGGACATTGAATATCCTAGTACAGTCAGCGTCAAATAGTTCGTAATCGTGACACCCAAAATGGTCAAAAAGTTCGCAACACGTTTTTGTTACATTGAAATAAGGTTGTGTTGTCAACTTTTTGGCCACTTTGGGTGTCATGAACTGTTTGACGCTGACCTCCTGACTACCCTAACGTTTGAAAGCTAATGTTGTTCTCCTCGTTGCAGTGAGAAGGCGGGCATCTACCCGCTGCTAGACGTGGACGACATGGTGGCCATGCGCAAGCCGGACTGGAAGTGCGTGTTCACGTACGTGCAGGCCATCCACCGCCGCTTCAAGGACCACAACTGAAGCACCGTCCGACCACGCCGCACTTCAACCCTCGATACCAGCTGATCGTTGTCTGGAAGTTTAACACGTTCACTGTTCAATTCTAAAGTGAACGGGCTAAACTAGAAACTGTTACTTTTGTTAACCTCTGGTAATCTGATAAAGCTATTTCTACCGATTGGTTTCACTAGTCAAAACTGTAACTGAAGTTTACGTTATTTCTATAAGAGTATAGAACTAAACCTGTGGAAAGTAACAGTTTCAGTATATTATTATTATCACCATATTCTGCTTCTGGTTGCTTTGTTTTAAGGACGATTGCAGTCCATATGCCAAATTGTTTGATCATTTAGAATAGTCGGCGTCAGAAGCCGACTATGGCGGCTGGTGTATTTCCGAAGTGCGGCGTGGTCCCGCCAGCGCCGGCTAGGTCGCAGTAGTTGAACGCTAAAGTCACAAAGTGTATCGTTATCGGGAGTGCGTCGCGGCGTCCAAAGAGCGTATGTTGTTGATATTGTTTGTTTGTTATTTGTCAGATGTTTATCGTCGCGTCCGCCCGACTCGTCGTTTCTCCAAGCGCAGTCTCGTATAAGTCCTCCTATTTATTGTATAATCTCAAGATGTATGTGATTTCTTTTATATTAGCTCGTAAGTTGACTAACCGTACCGATCGACTCAGGTTATAGTCTGTAGATTTTATACGCGTACTTTCGCTATTCATTTCTTCGGGATCGCTTTTTCTTATAATTCATAAGGAAGTCGTATCCGCACTCAGAGTACGCAAAGTACCGACGTTTATTACGAATCATTAACAATTTTCATATCCGCTACTGGACTACTATTACATTTGACAATAATAACAGCTTGAAATAATCGCCTACTGACTTTTATGAAATTGATATTATTATTATGTTAATTTATATCGATAATGAAATAAATATGATTAACAATGGATCCTGCGTTTCATTCTGCCTGCGGCCGCGTCCAGTGTCGCACCACGACCACCGAGAAGAGAAGAAGGAAGCACGCGGTCGACGTCGCCAGGAAGCAGACGTATCCCGCCGTCATGTCGCGACACGGTNAACACGGTCGCTAAGGGTCCGGGAACAGCGGGTAGGGCAGCGCGACCATGAAGGGGTCGGCGACGTTGGTGGCGCGGTCGGCGGTGGCGGCGGGCGACGTGACGTCACGGGGTGCCACGAGCGTGGCGGCGGACGCGCGCGGGGAGTCGCCGAGCGCCACGCGCACGTGCAGCGTGGAGTCGCGCCAGGCGCGCCACGACAGCTGGTGCTCCTGGATCTTCAGCAGCATCCACGTCGTCAGCAGCCCGTTCAGGGCGCCTGCGGTGAAACAGACTAAACTGGAGTGATAAATAATTTTTCTTGAATATCTGAAATTCTGAAAAACCAGATCATAAGCATAGGCACTCAAAAAAACATGCTAGCAGCCATATGAACGAAAGAGGCAAATTAGCTTAAGCTTGAGAATATCCATAACTTTTAGGGCCTTGCCACACTGGCGGATTGCAAGCGTTGATCTGCTAATGATAAATATCATTTCACTTTTATTACCCCTCCTTGAATCAGCTCGAGGCAAAATCGCCCATCCTTAACTTTTCTGATCAACTATCTATACAAATTAGTACATTTCTTTTCCTTAATCCATATTTCAATTACAATGCGATGAAAGCATCAAAACGTTCACAACAGGCTCCTAAACTGCACAATCAATTTGAAAAAACAATTATAAAAAACTAAGCAACACTTGATGTAATGGCAGATGATGATGAATAAGTAGTACAGTCAGCTTCAAATAGTTTTGTGATACTCAAAGTTACCAAAAAGTTAGTTTATTCCAAAGAAAAAGACCTGTCGCGAACTATTTGCCGCTGACTACAGGCCGGGATGGCCGCATGCCCTCACCAATGATGCCGATGAGCAGCGAGGAGAAGAGGTTGGCGGCGAGCGCGGCGCCGCCCCCGCGCCGGGCGCCCGCTTGGAGCACGGCGTCGCAGGCGTGCAGCGCGCGCGCCGTGCCCAGCACGCTGGCCGCGCCCAGCGCCGCGCCGCGCCACAAGTCGGCGGCCAGAGCGCGCCCGCGCCCCGACCACGCCCACTCCGCCATCGACCGCATCCACGACCATCTGCAACCACCGGCTTATGTAGTCCTTCAAGGCCAGCGAATCTAGACACAATAGATAATCAATGAGGGCTATCGTTTTAGCGCTCACCAGTTTGCGCCACTGTAGAGTAAGGTCCTGTCACTTGCAAGTAGCGAATACCTACAGTGGCACCATCTGGTGAGTGCTAAAGTGGTGGGAGGACTATCGCATTTGCACTCATCAAGATGGCGCCTCTGTAGAGTAAGGTCCTGTCAATCGCCAGGGGTGCCAACTGTTAAGTATAAAAACGTTAGCCCTCATTGTTATGACATTAATGAATGCCGTCTGGGACTCAAGCGGTTAAGGCCGTTTTCTGACTTGTCGGCACGACATCAGCAGTGACCACGCTCGGCATACGCGGTACCGAAAGCTTACCGAGCGCCTATATTTCAATGGAGCGTTCCTGATTGAGTCTGTGTGCGGCACCGGCACCGGCTGCCGTACATGCCGCGTCATTCAGGAGCGCTCCATTGAAATATAAGCGCTTGGTAAGCTTTCGGTACCGCGTATATCAAGTGTGCTGATGAGTCGTGCCGTTGCCGCGCCGACAAGTCAGAAAACTTCCTAAGACTAGTTTTCAAATTAGCTTTTAAATTTTGATTGTCACAGAAAAACTTTATAGCGCACGTCCCTGTTTCAAAAACCGGGTTAAAAACTATTAGACTAAGAGCTAGTGAACGCCAGACCTACGTCATTTTATAAAAGCTGAAAGTTTGTCAGCGTATGCTCCCAATATCACCAGCTCTTAGTCTATATCCTATGTCCTTTCCCGGGACTCAAACTATCTGTGTGTCAAATTTCATTAAAATCAGTTCAGTGGTTTAAGCGTGAAAGCAATCAGACAGGCGTAGGCTTAATGATAGTTTTAGAAGCAAAAAAAACTCATTTATTTTTCAAATAGGCAACTTTTACAACACGTCCCAGTATTAACGCAACCATTGCTTGGTGATAATAAATGGGCCAATGCTGAGAAGAAGAAGCGCAAGTTCCAAAGCGTAGAAAAAATATTACAGCTTACAAAATGTAGTCAATTATTTCGATTGTTCGCTCTAAATATTTTCAACAGCTGCCAAAGCTTCCCAAGCAGTGCCACTCACTTGTGACTCCTGGTGACGACGTAGTGGTGGCGGCACAGCTCGCAGTAGGAGGTGGCGGCCTGCAGCAGCCAACGCTCCAGGCACGAGCGGTGCACGGCGGCGATGGTGCCGCGGCACGAGCACGGCCGCACCAGCCGCTCCGCCGACTCGCCGCCGAAGCAGATGCGGCAGATGTTGTCCGACGTGCGGCTGCCCGTGAAACTAGACACCTCTTTGGGGCACGCTGACGAACCCTGCAATAGCATTTCAGCTGTGTCTTTTTCTTAAAAAAGCCGTGTATATTTGTCTGATGTGTTGTGTCGGAATCTGTTTCATACATAATGCAAACGTCAGAAGCCATCACGATATGAACATTCTAGTGTATGAAACCAAAAATATGCTTCACGATCACAAAACGTCAGGTAGGTAGGTAGGTAGTGAGGTAATAGGAAAATCTGACTTTAAGCTAAGCTTGGATTAAGGTCAATATCAAAGAAGCCATAAAATAATTTCATGCACATCCATGACTAAGCGCAGAGCTCAAAGCTGAATATCAAATTATTACCTAGCTAAGTACTTAATACATAACGTATAACAATACTGTTATCAGTGGATCGTAAGAAGCAGGAATGTTCAATCTAGGACTGCTAAGCAATTAAGGGTGGATTCGACCAAACAAGAATACACATTTTGACATATTTCCCATATTGAAACTGTCATTGTGCCAGATATAAGGAGTTATTCTCGGATAAAAGTTTGTTCGAATCGGGCCTAAGTAAGTGACATGTGTTCTACGAGGGCTAGTTAAGTGGTCCAGACCTGCTTNATAACCCTCATTGTTATGACATTAATGAATGCCGTCTGGGACTCAAGCGGTTAAGGCCGTTTTCTGACTTGTCGGCACGACATCAGCAGTGATCAGCACGCTCGGCATACGCGGTACCGAAAGCTTACCGAGCGCCTATATTTCAATGGAGCGTTCCTGATTGAGTCTGTGTGCGGCACCGGCACCGGCTGCCGTACATGCCGCGCCAATCAGGAACGCTCCATTGAAATATAAGCGCTCGGTAAGCTTTCGGTACCGCGTATATCAAGTGTGCTGATGTCGTGCCGTTGCCGCGCCGACAAGTCAGAAAACTTCCTAAGACTAGCTTTCCGCCCGCGGCTTCGCCCGCGTCAAATTTTGTTTGTCACAGAAAAACTTTATCGCACACGTCCCTGTTTCAAAAACCGGGTTAAAAACTATCCTATGTGCTTTCCCGGGACTCAAACTATCTCTATGCCAAATCTCATTAAAATCAGTTCAGTGGTTTAAACGTGAATGCGATCAGACAGAGTTATTTTCACATTATAATATTAGTAGGGAAATAATGATTATGTAGGCTTAATGACAGCTGTACAAGCAAAAAAATATCAAAAATGTCCTTTATTTTTGCAAATAAGTAGACTTCTAAAAAGCACTTTTACACGTCCCAGTATTAACCTTACCACTACTTCAGTCAGGATAATAAATGGGCCAGTGCTGAGAAGCAACGCAAGAAACTCGGTCACTGTTAGAGCAGATTGTGAAACTCTGCTGCCGAACTTAAGCCTACATAAAAGAGTGCATCAACATATTATTATTATATCAATAGCAAAATATTACAGCTTATTAAAACTTAGTCAAATTATTTCGATTGTTCGATCTAAATATTTTCAACAGCTGACAAAGCTTCCCAAGCAGTACCACTCACTTGTGGCTCCTGGTGACGACGTAGTGGTGGCGGCACAGCTCGCAGTAGGACGTGGCGGCCTGCAGCAGCCAGCGCTCCAGGCACGAGCGGTGCACGGCGGCTATGGTGCCGCGGCACGAGCACGGCCGCACCAGCCGCTCCGCCGACTCGCCGCCGAAGCAGATGCGGCAGATGTTGTCCGACGTGCGGCTGCCCGTGAAACTAGACACCTCTTTGGGGCACGCTGACGAACCCTGCAATAGCATTTCAGCTGTGTCTTTTTCTTAAAAAAGCCGCGTATATTTGTCTGATGTGTTATGTGTCGTAAATTCGTGATGTATAACGAAATTGGTTTCATAATACTTAGTCTTATTGCAAACATCAGAAGCCATCACGACCCAACACATTTTAGTGTATGAAACCAAGATGCTTCACGGTCACAACACGTGCACGTCAGGTAGGTAGTATAAATCTGGTTTTAAGCTAAGCTTGGATTAAGGTCATCGTCATTATCAAAGAAGCCATACAATAATTTCATGCACATCCGTGACTAAGCGCAGAACTCAAAGCAGAATATCAAATTATGAGTAGTAACGTATCACAATACAATGTATCAGTGGGTTGTAAGAAGCAGGAATGTTCAGATCCAGGATTGCTAAGCAATTAAAGGTGGATTGGACCAAACAATAGTAAACTTTTGACATATTTCCCATAATGAAACTGTCATTGTGTCAGTTATACCAGGAGTAAGTAAAGGCCTATTCAGACCTAAGCGGTATTCGCTACCGTCTGCAGCAGAGAAAACGCTCTAGCCGCGGTACTTGATACTAAATACCTGAGCGAAACCCGCGTAGTATGTACCTCTACCCACAGCGGCAGAGAATATCGCTCAGGTCGCTCTAGCCGCGATACTTGATAATACCTGAGCGAAACCCGCGCGGTATGTACCTCTACCCACAGCGGCACCGAATATCGCTCAGGTTTGAATAGGCCTTTATTGATTCTCGGATAAAAGTTTGGTCGAATCGGGCCTAAGTAAGTGTTATGCAGCATTATGTTCTAAGAAAGTTAGTTAGTGGTCCATACCTGCTTGTTGAGCAGCAGCGCGCAGACGGAGCCGAGGATGGACATGGAGCGGCCGGCGGGCGGCAGCAGCGACGACGCCGGCGACGAGAACGTCAGCGAGTCGGCGATGCGCGCGCGCAGCTGCCGCGCCTCCTCCGCCGAGCACATCGACACTGCCGACACACAGTCATGGAGCTTTGCCACAGCATCAGGGCTCGTTACCATGACAATCTAGATTTGTGGGATCCATCTAGTTTTGTGGGATTCAGTTCATCCATTAATGCAGTATCCCGCAAAACTAGACTATCGTGTAAACATCGAAATTGTTCTAAATTCGAATGCATCGGTTTTTTGCGTGTCTAAACGGGATCCTGCAAAAAATGGGGTGTCTCCGTTGGAAGAAGTCCGAAGTTTCTACAATAATTACTAGAAAGCTGTATAAACTCTTCATGCAATAAAAACTGTAACCAAACGGCAACGTCTGTCTTGTGGGAAAAACCTCCCTACCTACAAAGAAGTTATGGAATGACAGAACAAAACTCTGACAAACGAAAGGACCAAAGTTGAAGGTATGTAGTCAATTTTGTAAAATAAAAAATTGGTGCTATATTTAGGTGAAAAAAACCCAATAAATTATACCAGTCTTAAATGGATTACCTGGCGAGGCGATCCCGGGGGAGTGGCGGCAGCTGATATCGGTCTGCTGCGCCGTGGAGCGCAGCTCTCGCTCGCGCATGCTGCTTTGTGCGCTGGGCTGCACCAAACAGACAGAATAACGAATTAACGAGCCATTCCTTGAGTATTTAAGTACCTATGTAAACATTTAAAAATTGCCCTTCATTTAAAAATCTCGCTAGTAATCTCGTTAGTCTCGTTAGTTTTACCAGGAGGATCATCTAAGAAATATTATAAAACGTAGGATCGACAAAGAATAAGTAGGAAGCCTACTAGCGGCCAATTCATGTGTAGGTAACAACAAAATATCTCAAATATTCTCCAAATCGAAATGTAGACAAAATGCTTACCGGCGCGTGGACAGAGGAGCAACTCGAGGCCGACATGACGGTGAACCTGCTCTCGGAGCGGTTGCAGCCCCAGAACATCAGCAGCGTCTCACCTTCCACGACGTTACATTCCTGCGCGACACCACAAACAATTTAAATACACCAACCACCAACCATCTATCGAGAGTGAGAATCAAAAAAGAAAGTCGATCAATCACCACGACACTTACGGATCGAATCCGCGCTTATTAACAAAAGATGGTTTTTCTATATTTTTTTATTCTTAGCTACTTTTGAACGCCACTGAGTGATTTAAATATAATAAGTACACCACCGCACAGAACGACTCGTAGGTAAGGTAGATCTTGAAAATATTAACCTACCCTCAACGATTGCAAAAAAAAAACTCCATGAGCTTTTTCTATAATATATTACTACTTAACCTACTACCAATATCTATCATGTTACCAACTTAGATCTAAGGTTACCAACTGATTTAACCAGTTACTTTTTAAATTATGTAGGTGAATGACGGTAGATCTATTATTAAACTAATTTAATTTAATAAATACTTTTGAACATACCCGTATGAGGTCCGAGTAGCTGCAAGTCCGATGGTATGTAAAGTTGATTCGTTGTAACGCTTCCTGAATGTTTGGCTTGTACACGGAAGGGAAGAGTACGGCTTGTCTTAGGTTTTGAATGGCATCACTGGGGAAGGTCTCAAAGTCGTTGTAGTCCACCAAACAATTCAGCGCTACAAATTTGCGCATTTTTCATTGTGGTTGCAGGGACATATTGTTTAATTTAGTGTTTTTTTGTTTTTGAGATGGAAAAACCGTTGCAAATGGTTGAACGTCTTAGATGAAACTGCCAATCTGCCAAACATGTACCAAATGAACGCCACCAGGTGTCGCTGTCGCATTCAATCATCATGAGGCGAAAATTTCAAATAATATATTATTTTAACCAAATCATAATATTTCTACTTTCCATTATAAAATATTAATTTCATAAAACTATTCACGAATATAATAAAATTGAGAAAAATAATAATAGAGTAAGTTAAAATAAAAATATAAATTATACATTGAACACATCCGTTTTTAATGTCAAAATATATGTCATGTTTAGTGATGTGAAATAAATCGAAATGAACTAAAGTATTTCAATTGCTTTAGTCGATTAAGGTAAAAAAACAATGTTTCCAAATTTTTATGTAACTAATTACATTTTAATATTTACACATAAGTATGGTGTAGTTATATGGTAATATCAGTTCGCAAATAATGAAAATTAGTGAGAATTAAATATTATTGAATTTTCACAAACAATCGACTAAATCGATCAAATTTCGATTTTTTACAATAAAACTATAGATGACCCACGCTGAACTGTCCCGCCAAACTCAATGACAGGGGGGCGCTACCATCGTTCAACTTTATGGCAGCGGGGCGCCACCGTCAATACCGGATCGCTGGTTTAGATTTTTGCCATGTTGGAAACCATATAGTTGAACGATGGTAGCGCCCCCCTGTCATTGAGTTTGGTGGGACAGTTCAGCGTGGGTCATCTATATGTCGCAGTCGGATTGTATAATCCGCCGGTTTACATTACCACTAGGCATTTTACATTACAGCTCTGTTTTGTAATACGGCGGTTCAACGTTTAGGCGGATTGTCATTGCGATACGTTCTTCAATACGGCGGCCCACGTTTAGCCGCATCGTACTACTATTTAGATTGTAGGGTGACCATACTTACAAAATAAAACAATGTTTAATGAAAATAAATTTTAATAAGACAGATTTATTCTCATGATATTCCTTAGTAATTAAGTAAGATCTTCGTTACTGTAAGTAATACTAAATCATATATTTGGCTTCAGTATTTTTTTATATTTAAAATAAATCACAGGCGACAGCCATCTCAAAACAAATAAACTTTTTTTGAAAGTTAATAATATAATAAAATATTTGGCTTTAGTCATTTTTAAACATAATGAGTAATCACAAGGTACAAACATCTTAAAATAAAAGATATCTCAAAATCTTCACCGGCCACTGTCATAATATCATACTTTTTGCACCAATAATATTGAGTAGGATTCCGCCGAACACCAGAATCCATAGCCACTTTAGCGGTTTTGATGTGGGCTATAACCTCCAAAACTCGGTCCCTTGTCCACGGTTTTTTGACTGTTCCACATTGTGAAGAATAGAAATTCTTCAATTGCAAGTTAAAATTGTTTTTAAACTCACTGTTGACACACATATTTATAACGTTTTCTTTATTAGATTCAGAAATAACTCCGTAATTTAGCAACACATTTTCTGCATCCGATGCCATTGTTGTTGTTATGTCAGGCAGCGCCACGGTATTGAAAATGGGAACTAAAAATTATCAAAGCGGCGGGTAATGACACGCTGTTTTACATTGCGGCTAGCCGTATTGAAGAACGTTTGGCGCCGAATACATTCCGGCGGATTTTTATTCAGCCGTATTCAATCCGCCTAAACGTTGAACCGCCGTATTACAAAACAGAGCTGTAATGTAAAATGCCTAGTGGTAATGTAAAACGGCGGATTATACAATCCGACTGCGACATATATACTGAACATGATGGCGGAAAACGTCAAACTGACGTCAAACGTTTGACTGTTCCGTCGTTGTTTTTCTTCTCCCCACGTGAAGGTTTCGGTTGTTAAATCTTGTGAAATACTTGGAAAACACAGTAAAAATAAAAATTCCAATCATGGCGGTTCGTGTGCAATTCGAAAACAATAATGAAGTGGGAGTGTTCAGCAAATTGACAAATTCGTACTGCCTCGTCGCAATCGGCGGGTCCGAAAATTTCTACAGCGTGTTCGAGGCCGAGCTGGCGGAGACGATCCCCGTGGTGCACGCGAGCATCGCCGGCTGCCGCATCATCGGCCGCATGACCGTGGCAAACAAGAACGGGCTCATCGTGCCCTCCTCCACCACCGACACAGAGTTGCAACACATCAGAAACAGTCTCCCGGACAACGTGAAGGTCCAACGCGTGGAGGAGCGGCTCAGCGCGCTGGGCAACGTCATCGCCTGCAACGACTACGTCGCGCTCGTGCACCCCGACCTCGACCGCGACACCGAGGAGATCCTGGCCGACACGCTGGACGTCGAGGTGTTCCGGCAGACGGTGGCGGGCAACGTGCTCGTCGGCACCTACGCCGCGCTCAGCAACAGAGGCGGCCTCGTGCACCCCAAGACGACCATCCAGGACCAGGACGAGCTGTCGTCCCTCCTGCAGGTGCCGCTGGTGGCCGGTACAGTCAACAGGGGCAGCGAGGTGATCGCCGCCGGCCTCGTGGTCAACGATTGGTGCGCGTTCTGCGGCATGGACACCACATCAACAGAAATATCAGTAATCGAAAGTGTATTCAAATTGAATGATGCCAAACCGACAGCGATAACATCTACGATGCGTGCTTCTCTCATTGATAGTATGTCATAACATTGACTGTGGTTAAAACACACTTAAACTTATGTGATATTTGTTTATTGCAAGTTTTTGTTTTGATTTGTAAAATAAATTGATGTTTTACTCTGTTGTTGTCTGTAGAGCAGATTGCACAACATACACCAATGCGTCTTTGACCTGTTTCAAATGAATAAATGTAAGTAATATTATATCATTCAAAATATTATGCAATGTATTATTTCCTCTAATTCCATTTGCACTCATTCAGTTGAAGAAGCAGCATAACTCTGTTATCAGTAAACAGTCATGGATTTATCAGTAATTATCAAGAATAGTAAAACCAGTGCACTTACAATATAGTTTATTATAAACACAATTATCAAATAAAATGGTCATCCATATCTACAGTTGCCACACGAGTTTCTCTGGAAGTATACTCCTTAACCAACAACAGGAACAAAGCCTATAAAGCAACACAACAATGTTTAATAAGAAATAATTTCAACAATTTTATTTTAAGTTTCCATTGCATAATTAAATTCAACACAGTACTGTTATACTCAGGAAGCTACTGATTGCAAAATAAAGAATGTAAAACTTTTATTGCGCTACAAGAAATCAATTTTAACTTTATGTTGATGACTCATGCATGACAATGAATCAGAAGATTGACTTGAATTAAATACATATTGATCTAGGTTTATAACCAAAGATTCTCTCATGAACTTTTACATTTTCCCACAATTATTTAGGCACATCTGTATGGAATAACACTATTCTCAATTTTAAGACTGAACTGTCTTTGCCTAATCCAAACCCATTTTGTTATCAGATTTATACAATAATTCTGAATATAATTCTGATACACTTGTGTAATTTAAACACTAAACTACCTATATTTTATACATAACATGGTCAACCTCTAAAAATTAAGTAAGTAAATAAAAGAGGTAGGAAATTTTTACCCAAGCAAAGATTATTGCTGTATTTACTATGAACTAAACTTAGGCTAGCTATTGTTAGACCATTAGAAACATGGGCTCATAAATTGTTATGGATTTTATGCCATCAACAGTTAAAATAATGCTCCCATGTTTACACATTTTGGTTGTTTCAATACTCAATAACTCACTATACAGTTACACAGTTAGTCAAACTATAAAATAATGAGCAAACACAAAAACATTCATGTTATGAAACAAGCAACTTTATAGCCATAAATATAACATACAAAACAAGAGGCACATGAAAAATTCAAATATGATGATTTTCATCACCCTCATAGCCACATAATTATCAAAAATTTGATGAACATTACAATATCATTTGCATAACACAACTTTTTAAACTCTCTTTATTATTATTCAAAATTTTCACCTGTGGGATATAATTATAACTTTCTAATCTTATAAATAATTTTGTGCTGATCAATAAAAAGTTATACTCATTCAACAAAGCACAGTTGTCTTTCAGTCACAGTATCAAATGGCACACAGTTACCTATCTCAACAATCTACCCTAACAGCCCTCAATGAAAAATAAATGCATGTTTAAGATAAGTGCGTCAGATATGTAGTGTTTGTAAATGCAGTAGAAAATACACGAATTTCTTTTAAAGTAGTGGAGAAATACAAAATTGATTATGCTCTTATAAGAAAATGGGCTAGAAATTCACATTGCAACCAGAATATTTCCTTATCCTAATTAATGAAAAGGACACAATTTAATTATGCTAAAAAAGTTGCTATGTGAAAATTAGATTTAAAAATTCAATGGCAGAAGTGAAAATATTCTATTCAAGTATGTATGTATTTACAACTGACACTGACTCGAAGAATAATACTTATTCATATTGCAGTAAAGTTACAATAGAGCAATAATTTGGACAAAAGTTAAATTTAGTAATTCTTATCTTTGTTTGCCAATATATACAATAGGTGCTTTTAGAATTAACATTATGCACAGCCATTTTTTTTCCAGATACATGCAAATTATAACACAATCGCGCATTTTTTTGAGAATTAGTGCAGGTATTTTTTATAGTAAATTTTGATATTGTTAAATAAAGGCATATAAATAAAGTAAATATTTGAACAGCAATTTCAACTTTTTTATTATTCAGTTTCTTAGATTTTTCACTTCTTAGAGTGCTGAAGGGAGTTTTAAATTTACTGTATATTATCATTATCCTATTCACATTTTATTTATTAATTAAAGACCTATGCATTGTCAGAATCGCAAACATTCTCACATGTGTAGTTAGATTACGTTAATAAAATTTGGTTTACCCTTTTCAGTTCCAATTAATATAATATTTCGCGTTTCGTGAACACCACTGCTTAAGTACACAGAATTACATATAAATGTTATCAACCCACTAATTATATTTCCCGTAGAACTGAGTATTTATTCCTATTCATATATCGTACGTTAGATTTCGAGAGTAAGACGTTTCATATGACTGCTGAAGTTACTAAAAAATTACAACAAGTTTTTATAGTCGTCAAGTGACATAAGTAAGGTATGGTTTTTACCGTTCGCTCAGTCGCATGTAAGCGGGACGTATCTTAAGTTTTACAACCACAAAAAGTTAAGAAATATTTGCAGAAGAAGCGGTAGGCCTCCGATTCTCGTCTCGTGGCGCAGAGAATGAGAGTGATAGTAAATAGCCTGCAGGCCTAGAATGCGCGCCGCGATAAGCGGTAATCACGCCATTTTATCGATTTTGCTCATACATTTCTTTGGCGTCGATAAAGTATATCACGGCGCGCATCCTAGCCCGGCTGGACTCGCTTCCCCGTGACCACTAAAGAGGCGTGGTCGGCCTTCTGCGTCACGTCTGTTTACACCAGTGGTTCTTAACCTTTAAGTCACGAGGGACCATTTTACCAAATTACTGTCTTGTCCTTCTTGTCTTGGGACCACTTTTTTTTTAAACCTCTGAAAGGGGAGGTCGTTTTCTCGCCCACTCTGCGCCGTTTGCGTTGTGTTGACTCAACTCACACGTCACGTCACTTGTTTATTACGATGTCTTCGTGGACCACTTGGAATGTCTCCAGGGACCACCGGTTAAGAACCACTGGTTTACACAGATCAGCCTCGATCGAATCACGTGGCCTCGGCGTGTGCCCGGGCTGGGTCAAGCTGTGGGCGGCTAGAAGTGTTGCGTGGCGGCGGCGCGTAGGGCGGCGTCGAGCGCGGCGGCGTCGGGCGCGGCTCGCTCGTAGAACAGCATGTAGGCGGCGCAGCGCAGCACCTCCGCCAGAGACACCTCGTGCACCAGCGTGTCTGATGTGTACCACCATCTGCATGGAGAGATTTTATTTATTTATTTATTCATGAATAGAACGGTAGTACCAATTACACTATTCAAATAAGACATAACAAAGTTCAGAATAACATTTAAGTACTTATAAACAATTTAACTTAGGAAAAGTACATAAATCAGATGCGATTATTTTCACAGTAACCCAGACATTCTGCTAGTAACGTACTCCACCTCTGCATATACGTCACATTTTGGTCCAGAGATAGGTGAATGACGGAATGAAACTTATTCAAATTAATAGTTACAGACGAATCGGAGACAACGAGCGAAAGGTTTACAGAATGGACCAAACTTTTATCAGAGAATAACTCCTAGTTTAACTGGCACATTGACAGTTACTGTATGGGAAATGTGTCAAAATGTCGAATAACTGACGATTCATTCTGAGATGAATATTTACTCTAGTTTAGACGCCTTATGAAATTAAAATTAGATGAAAAAATTGGCGAGCGCCTTTCATTATTTTCTTTGAAATGAATCGCTCGTTCCTTCTCGGTTGACCACCCCTGACTGAAACACAAGGATGTAAATATAGACCCACTACACTGAACTGTCCCACCAAACTCATTGACATGGGGGCGCCAACATCGTTCAACTGCATAGTTTTTAATGTGACTAAAATCTGAACCAGCGATCCGATATTGAAGGTGGCACGCCCTGTCAATGTCACGGGTGGGACAGTTCGATGTAATGTCGGTCTATTGGCTCCGTGCACGATTACAGCGCCAACTAGCGTCCACAACTTTGTGGGCTCTGTCACATTGACATTTAGGTCGTATATTTGTGAAAAAATATCGAAATGAAAAAATAACAAATATTTTCAACTAATAAATTGTTGTGATACCACGATTTGGGTGGAAAAAAGGTTTTGAAATCATTTTGGTCATTCAAATCAAATGAGGTAAGTCCAAAAAGTGTGTTTAATTTTGATTGTGTCAGGGTTTGTTTACTTCATTTATAGTTGTAGTTTTACAGTAAAACAAAAAGAAAAAGCTACTTTAACGGTTTCATTATATAACAGTAAATATATTTAAATGTTTCTGTATCGCTAGTAATAAATTAAATATCGTTTTCAGATCGAAATGAGTATCGTTTTGAAGACCGGGTTTGTGAGAGTTACAATATCAAATTCCAACCACAAACCGTATTTAAAGGAAAGTTGTTGGTATTGGCTGGACAAGTCCGAGATGTAGAAGAATTAAGAACAAAACAAGGGCAGAGTTCAATAATTCACGCTCTCATCATAAGGCAAACATCTGTGCACAACAACTACTNCTTCGCACCCAGCGAATAAAGGGTCATAAATATCCTTTTAGCTACACTGAGCCATCTAGTCCCAAACTTAACAAAAAAAAACTAAGCCAAGTTTGTACTAAAGCCTGGTCCGTGAGCACGTAGAATCCCGTCCAATGACCGCAAGCTGCCCATCCTTGTCGCTCGCACGTAATTATATTGCTGTCGCGCTCGCACATTCACTGCGGGCGCGCGTCGCACAGTCGCGACAGCAATATAATTACGCGCGAGCGATAAGGATGGGTAGCTTGGGGTCATTGGACGGGATTCTACGTGCTCACGGACCAGGCTTTATATGTATATTTATGGTTTGTAAAGCTAGTGTCACCTCTTGGCCTCGAAGCCGTTCCCGCGGCGGTAGGTGGCGAAGTGCCCGGAGCGCGGGCCGCCCACGTGCACCACCACCGCCACGAGCCGGTACAGCGCGCGCTCCGCCGTCACGCCCGCCGTCGCCGACGCTGCCTCTGTGTTGGCCGCACACAGTCCGCTGCGCAGGCGCCCTTCCGATACTAGCGACGCTAGGTTCACCTGCTGAGGGACAAATAGTAATGGTCAGAAGGGTGACTTTAGAATGACCCTCAGTTGGTGAGAGATACCATCTAATGGCGCAGTTACACTATGCGCGAAATTGAACGAATCCGCGCGTAGTGTAACTGTGCCATAACGGCTAGTGAATACGCAATAAAAAATATTAATAGAAATACTTAATTATTCAAACATTATATTCCTAGTCTTAGGCCAGTAGAATTAAACACAAAAATTGATTAAATCGGAAATAATTCGTACAAAAGATTTGTTTGCTTTAATGGCTTCATTGGTTGCCCATTAAGACTCTCCTAAGTTTTCGACTTCGACGGAGTTGTGCTTAAGTGGTGGGGGCCCCCGAAAGGGGCGTTTTTTCGGTTTTCCGGTTATACCGCGTAAAGGACTTACCCTATCGAAAAGTGGTCTTCATGACGGTTAAAGGGCACTTAATCCTGCATTGAATAAGACCAAATTCATATGTTTTGGACAAACCGTTTTCGCGCTAAAGTTCGGCAAAGTAGAAAATATACGTATAATTAATGACCCTCTCCACGTCCAATGGCTTGTTACCCACATGCTTCCAAGCCTTGTAAAGGGTCGCCTTAACCAGTGTAACCCTAACTAGGCTCACGAGTTTGATTCGCTTATCCTTGTNATCTGTCGAGTAGTTTTTGTTTCTATAAGGAACATACAGACAGACAGACAGACTGACAAAAATTTTACTGATTGCATTTTTGGCATCAGTATCGACCACTATCACCCCCTGATAGTTATTTTGAAAATATATTTCATGTACAGAATTGACCTCTCTACAGATTTATTATAAGTATAGATTAGCTAAAAAAGATATTGAAATGACAGCTTACCTACTATGAGAAGTTAGTCTGAATTTTAGAAAGTACTCTACTTCCTTCACATCTGCTAAGAGCAATGACATCCGTCACAGACCAGTATGCAGCGGTGCAAATTCGTTTTCTTTACTTTTACTCAGTTTGCTAGCTGTAGCAAGTACATTTCAATCAACTAGATTACTAGAATAAAACTGTGCGATCTCCCGCAGGAATGGATTTAAGAAGTGACATCTTAAAGTACCTATGTCTATTGATTGATTTATTGGTCAACGACAACGAACCAATAAGTCCAAAAACAAGATACACTTTTGTCGCTTAACTAAACAATCCACGATGTGAGTGTAATTTTAATTGATTTTACATTCAAGTAGATTGTGCTGATAACGGTTTAAGTACATGTCCACGACATTTATTGCAGTTCTCTCTATCACTGACAAACAATCAGTCAATTCTCATACTTCACTAGAATCAATTTCACTTAAGCACTCTCCCAAATTAAATTCTAGTAACAACTCATTTTCTATATCATTAACCCATATAATCGTCTTGTTAAAATCGCAAAGACATCGGTGGAAAATTGTCAATTCTCTGGATCTTAATGGATATCATCGCGACTGTCGCCTGCGCGCACGCACGTCTGTCACGCAGGCCCGCATTTACGAGCCGGCTATTGTCTTAGCTACTGTTATTTTTCACATAAAAATGAGCCCATTCCAGTTCACTAACACTATGCACTTTATGATCCTAAGCGATCATCATTATAACTCAATGCCACTAATATTATCTAGGTTTAATGTTAGCATTCTTAAGCATGTTAACATCATCATCCATCATCATGATAATTTGAGCCAATGGTAGTCCACTACTGGAGATAAGCTTCCCATAAGGAACTATAGACGCAACAAGTCTTTTTCATCGAGCCCTTGCATCTGTTCTGGTTAAAGTCATCCGACTATTGAGTAGGTGGACTGGACATTCTACTCTACGTATGTGAGATACTGAGATGTGGCCTCTAGACTCCCTTCGAAAAGCTGTTTATTCCAGTCCATTCCTTTCGTCACTTATGGCTGATCCACTGCTACTTGCTACATTTTATATTTAGTTCTGCTGAATGTCGTTAGACGCACCATCTTCTATCTTTACAAATGTCTAATCCTGCTGCAGATTAGATACTTATTACTTATGCTTTGAGCTATATTCATTTATTTTAGTAGTTTGGATCTCATTTCTGATTGAATCATTAAAAAAGATACATCGAGCTTAGCTCTCACTCATTATTATTTCACAAGCCATATTGGATTCTCAGCGCACACATATTTCTCCACTGTCTTAATGTAGAGACTTATTTATCTTAATTAAAACACTCAGCCTTAAATTGATTTTATTAAAATAATTTGCAAAGAAAAGCAGAATTGAGACACACATAATTTTCAAATGTGGATTCTGGCTATTGTAGCATACAGGATGTGACGTAAAAGGTGGTCCGACGCTTTAGGGAAATATCGAAACATTTACAATCAAACCACTATTTATGCTACATTATGTATTTTTCATACCTATTACATGTCTTGCCTTTTAAGAACTTCAAGATTTGTATATGAGTACGGGCAGCATAGTTATTTGCGAGATCTATAGCCGGTAATATCAGTAATATAGCTTGTCTACACTGCAATTGGGTATGTAAAAATGACAAATTATTTCACGCTACAATTTTCCAAGATAAATCAATTATGATGAGAATTTCTAAGAGTTCTTCAACGACCGGCTGAAATAGGAGACGTGGGCGAGAATATATTATGTTGTAGGGTTGGTATTTTACTTTCAATAAAGTATTTTAATATTAAAAGTTTCTAGGAGCAATTTTCTAAATTGATTACTGAAGAAATTACCTCTATAAAATTTTATAGTTCTAGCGTGTTTTTTCCGCAAACGTAGGTATTCATTAAAACCTTTGTGTATAAGAAATTCCGTAGCTGTGACGTTATATGTTTGCGAAATAAAACATGTTTTGTTAGTCACATGCACAGTGAAACCATCTGTTCGGATTACTAATGTTTGGCCAAAAAACGTTTCCCAAATTATCACATCGCAAACAACGTTTCGCAAATTTTCATTTGGCAAATTCTCATTTGGCAACACCCACTTATTGCAAACTTTTAATTCGCAAATGTCGTTTTTGGCATATTATTATTTAGCAAATTATTGTTTGACAAAGTATGTTTTCCCAAATGTTGCATTTGGCAAAAATATTTCACGATAAACTATTCACAAAATAATTTGATTGGTGCATAGAATGGAATACAAATTAGCTTGTGGTTATTATTTTGTTTAGTGGGTAGTTATTATAAAATTTGTCCTAAATTAATTTTCATATTTCATTCTTTTTATCGAAATTTCCAAATGATTCAATAACAATAGAGGTGATTCTTAAGGGTCACTGTTCTAACCTAACCTAACCTAACCTACTATTTTCTGCAATACCTACTTTCTGCAACCATACTATTTTCTGCAATCTCTTTGTTTTATATAAAATTCTCGTGAAAACCATGATCTGCCTTATGCTTTGATTTGTGGGTAACGGTGAGTAAGTATGTGAAGTGTCAATTTGACCAAACAAATTATTTGGGATATAATATTTGGCAAAATAAAACATTTGCTATATAAACATTTGCCAAGTAAAATTTTGCCAAATGATAATTTGCCCAAATGAAATAGTTGCGAAAAGTGCAGTTGCTAAAAGTTCATTTGGGAAATGAAACTTTGGCGATAAGTTGTTTGCGAAGTGAAATTTGGCGAAAAGTAATTTGGCCAAACGGAAGGATACCCATCTGTTCACTATGCTCTACACCTGGTTGATGATTGTTTAAGGAAATAAGTCATGTTCTATATTACTCGTAAATACATCGTGTTCATTTGATTTCTAAAGTTAGTGTAAGTAACTGAATGGTATGGTAGTAGAGCATAAGATTGACAGTCTTATAGCTAGAAAGACATATCTTCCAGACATCTCGGGGACAAGACAGTCATCAGACAGTCTGATGAGTCCAGGAAGATTCTGAATTTTGATTGTCATGAATGATAGTTTTAATTTATTGCCTTGGTTTGGTTAGTGGTAAGAGCAGGTAATGCTAGTGGCATAATAATAACAATAAGATCATACATTTTAATGAAAGAAAGAGAATTACATAAGTATTGAATGCCGACATAGCATAATATTACTCGAGAAAGCTATACCCGATAGAAGCCGTAAATAACGAGGCAAACAATTATTCCGTCGCTTAATTACACGATCCGACTCTGCCACGGCCACAATATCTAACACATGTTCAATATTCATGTTAGCTTGTATATTTAGGTTCACACTACACTATGGACGGTGATATACTATTTTGCGACACCTCAAACGTATAGAATCTTAACTAGTTTGCTTTAAGGTTGAAAGGTCAAGATCCCTAAGACACTGAACCCATAAGGTTTTCGATAATCCGGGAAGGGAATAATAATCTTAAATGTTTTAATTCTAAAAATGGGCTTATTTAAAGAAGAGGTTAAGCAAAAAGCTTCCAAGAATAATAAACGTTAAAAATAGAGGATAAAGCTAGATTACAAGAAAAAATAAATAGGCGTTAGACCAATGATGGTCAGAACGCCATTGTTGTCAAGATTTCCCCAAAACAAATTGCAGTGTAGCTTCAGCCTTAGATTTTGCGATACATGTGTCCAAGCGTGACATTGCGGTATAAAAAGTTCAAATGGACGTCATTACAACCGATTAATTAACTCCTAACAAAACAGTAATGAAAGTCGTCATCGTCATAATTCTAAATGCGTCACAAGATAAGCCATTCTCGTTCGAAACGATGAAAAATCATTGAACTTTAATCGATTACGTTAAGAGTTAAGTTATTTGTCCTTTCGAAAAGTTAGTTACTTGACTAGATGTCGTTTTACATACTTTATTTTCGGGCGATAAGTCCTATTCTAGTTTGTCGACTTGCTGCAAGCGTTTAAGAGCCTATGTCAAAAGAGATAATGATGAGAACTCATTTTCGCCAAATGAGCAACCATTTATGTAAAGAGAGTATGGTGGAGACTTCTTGCATCATTATATTAGTTGTTACACATACTTTGAGATAGGTAGGTACTTAGCTTGAACTTATGATGCAATGATTTAGTGCAATGATAACAAAATAATCTTCCTTCAGTTAAAGATCATCTCAGTAATGGTTATTATGCAACGCGCTAATAGTAGGATTTATTGGACAGTGTCTTAATGTCTTTTACTACTTATTTGATTTCGTACAGCGGAAGACTCGGTTTTTAAGGAAGAATTTATAAATAAAACAACTTTACATATTTTTTCTTGTAGATAACAAAGAAGAAATTACTTATTTTGATGATAACCTCATCGCTTCAAGCTGGAAATAAAGTTACGATCCCTAAAATAGAAGAACATAAAAACGCGCGCGTTCATCGATCAACTCGCGCGTTGTCAAGTGTAGTGGATCAAATGACGAAAATAACGTAAAAGCGGCTTACGACACCCGCATCCTGTCTTTTTGAAACTTCAAAATATTGTACAAACTACATATAAAGCGGACACTTTTGCCTTAGTGAGATAATAGAAAACCAGCTTATTAAAAATCTTTGTTACTTTAGGGACCTTTGCGATCATACGCTTACTTTATTACTTGAATGATCAAGACAACCGATTGGACATGAACTAAATCCAAGACCAAGTGGAGATGGCTTATTATAATGTAAGTTTGAATAGCTATAAGTCAACGAGAACTCACGTTCAGATTTATGAAGGGAGCATCTAATTTACAATGTCAGACAGTCTTACTATAACTGGAAAGGCAATATTGGAGATAAAGTCCTAGAAACTTACTGGCTTAGTTCTTATTTTCGAAAAACAATATTGCTAGAGTTTCTACCCTTTTTATTCAGGATGTAGTCACACAAATTCGTGAGTATATTTGAGCCCTTATATACTCAACATCAAATAAACCGCACCTTCCGCGACGCGAACTTTAACGATTTTCTTCTGACACAATCATGGTGCCCCAACAATATTGGTGTTATTTGAAAGCCCAAGAAATATCCTTAGAGAAAAACACATTTAATTTCTTAATAAATGATTAACATTAGAGATGAAACGGATATTCGGCAACTATCCGGTAGGCCGGATATCCGGCCCTAATTTACTATCCGGCCGGATACCGGATAGTAACTCAGTATCCGGCCGGATACCGGATATTAAAAAAAAAACGACAATTTCCTATTAATAAAATGAAATACATTAATCTTTGAGGTAAATATCAATAAAATGGCTTACAATAATGACGGCTTTTATTTAAAGTCCAAAAAGTTACAAAAAAAAGCCATATTAAGGCCTTTCAAAACTAATTTATTTTTCTGGGCTATTCACTCTAATGACGAATACATAGATAAATAGTAAATATCTGTTAATGTCGAAATATTGCCAAAAAAAAATAGGCGATTTTTTTTTCACTGATGGTCTGATGACATGATGCAACTACACTGGTCATCACAAAGATCGACCCTCCCGCGACAAGCACTTTCAAACGTATGCATCCCCACTTCCCACCAATATTGGCACCATTATAAAAGCCTAGTTCTAAACTTCATTTCATTAACCCTTCATTTGGCAAGACAAAAATTGTTTGATTTTTTCAATAAAATCTATTTAGACCTAATTGTTACTATCAAATAAAGTTAAGAAAAATAGTAAAAAAAATATTTGGTTGGTATTTTCGCGAAAAACGATTGTTGCTTATTTACCACATTGCCAAATAGGGGTACTTAAATACAACATTGAGATATATTAAAGAATTAATTTTTTTATATGAAAATCTTAAAAAAATCAATCGTATTTCACATTTTATGTATTAAACTTTTTTTTGGCCATTTTCGCAAAGTCGACTGTGACCTTTTTCTCNAAAAAAAAAAAAAAAAAAAAAAAAAAAAAAAAAAACATACGGGTCGAATTGAGAACCTCCTCCTTTTTTTGAAGTCGGTTGATTAGTAATTACAGACGAATCGGAGACAACGAGCGAAAGGTTTTACTGGATAAAAAAGTGACATCATTGCTCTATTTAAAAAAATAGATAGAAAACATTTATTTGGCACATATAAAACTTAAAACAGAGATCGCCAACTCTGAGAAATAGTAAGCGACGAAGTTGTTTTTTAACGTTGTTTTTAATTTTGTACATCTTGTGAAATTAACACATTGATAAAATTATCGTCCTACTGGCAAGCCTGTATCTCTAGCATGAACAACTTTCGTCTTCGAATCGTTTGTTTATTCGATAAAATTCGATACTCAATCTTCGAATTAAACGATAACGTGACAATTTTGATTCTCAAAATAAGTTTCTTGCAACCACATCTCATACTAAGTTCACTTTACGACACGCTCACGAGGGCGCTGTTGTAGTTTTCTTACTAAATCTTTTGATGGCGATTCGAGTACGCAAACGATTTGAACTCGAAAGTTTTTTGTGCTAGCCGTACTGATCATCTCAGCGAGTTTGCATCGAAAACAACACGCACGTGTCGCACGTGTATTCTTCACCCATTTGCATTGTAAAGACAATAAACTATATTTAAAAACGGAGATGAACAGGCCTGGTGCTACTGCGAACGAGAAAACAAGGGACTATCATTATTTTATTTGAAATGAATCGCTCCATCCCTCAGTTGATCATCGCTATGACAAGGATATAAGGGCTTCCGCTAAAACTCGCGTGAGGTGGTAAGCGAGTCTGTATCGAAATAGTATAAACAACGTATGCATGAGACGAGTTTCCAAATGTGCGGCGGGAGTCCGTTGCGGGCACGCGCGCAATTTCATCGGAGGACCTTAGACTGGTGTCTCACCTCTTGGCCTCGAAGCCGTTCCCGCGGCGGTAGGTGGCGAAGTGCCCGGAGCGCGGGCCGCCCACGTGCACCACCACCGCCACGAGCCGGTACAGCGCGCGCTCCGCCGTCACGCCCGTCGCCGTCGCCGACGCTGCCTCCGTGTTGGCCGCGCATAACCCGCTGCGCAGGCGCCCTTCTGAGACTAGGGATGCTAGGTTCACCTGCTGGGGGACAATATTCACGTTCAGATAGATCGGATGGTAAAACTGGGCACGGGTGCTTCAGGCAGCGCCTACACAGGATGACGCTGTGCGAGTCTGCACTATGCCCATGCGGCGAGGGAGTCGAAGAGAGCCGCGATCACGCACTTTGGGAATGTAACCTCTATGGCGAAGCTCGACAGAAAATGCTGGATGCGATACGGAGAGCCGAGCAAGGACCTGTTTATCACCAGGACCTCACGAGTAGTCGCAGTAACTGGATCGCGCTGCGCGAGTTCGCGCACTCCTGGCACACAATCAGGCGAAATTATGAGAAGAAGTGATGACATTTATCAACGATAGCAGCCCGACGCGAAGTACCGTATTTGTGGTGTCAAGCCCCAGAAGGGGGAGAATTGACATGGATCAGAGAAATTTGTAGGGAGTCAAGCAAAGCGCCCGGGGAAAGGAGCCCAGAGCAAGTACCCGCGCGCTCTCCCGAGATTCGGTTCGCACGCCGTGAGGCAGGAAGAACCATGGGTGGTGGTGGGTTAGATCGGATGGTAATATAACACTTAATATGTGAGATAATTTATTACCTAAGGGCTAGTACGCACGTACGTTAGTTTTTAACGTTGTTTTTAATTTTGAATATCTTTCTTGTGAAATTAACACACTGATAAAATTATACGACGTAAAACAGTCATCCTACTGCGAACGATAAAACATTATTTTATTATTTCTTTTGAAATTAACACATGATAAAATTCAAGTCAAGCAATCGTCCTACTGCAAACGAGAAAACAAGGGACTATCATTATTTTCTTTAAAATGAATCGCTCTATCCCTCAGTTGACCACCGCTGTGACACAAGGATATAAGGGCCTCCGTTAAAACTCGCGTGGACGCTAGCAGGCGTGTCTGTATTGAAAGATAGTACAACATCAAATAGTTCGTAACACCCAAAGTAGTCAATAAGTTCACAATATATCTTTGTTCCAATTTGAATAAGGTTGTGTTATGAACTTTTTGGCCACTTTAGAATTGACGCTGACTACGAGCAGCGCATTAATGTGGCAGAGACGCGGGACGGTGGGACGGCGGGACGCGGTGATTTTCGTACATTATTATGCGGGCAGAGCAAGTTTTGGCGCAAGCCCCTAATATATTTACTTGTGAAAAGACAGTATATCAAAGATTGTACGTTACTTGAAGCACCCTCTTAAGCCTTGTATCCACTTGAGCATGCTTAGGTCTAGGTGCACATTCGCCTGATGAGCATGCGCAAAGCTTTAGACCATTAGTTCCCAAAGTTATTTGAGACGCGCCCCCCCTCCTCCAGTCAAGATTATTTATTGGTCGTATCGAGCAGTCTAGAATGCATTCTTTCAGCGGTCGCAGGATTCTTACAGATGGCCCGCGCCCCCCTTTAAAGGTCTTTGCCTCCCCCCTCCAATATTTTAGACTGAGAACACATAAAGAAATATCTACATTGACCGTTACCGGCGGCGGCGTGGGGTGCGCGTAGGGCGCGAGCGACAGCGCCTCGGGGAAGGCCACGTGCTCCGCGCGCTTGCTGAGCGCGCCGCGCGCCCACTCCACGCGCCCGATGTGCAGGCACAGGCACGCCGGCAGCTGCGGGGAATAACACATGCAATTGGGTCAATTAACTATGAAAAACTCAGCAATTCATTTTAAAGGACATTGGGAACTTTACTATGAGAAAATGCCCCACGGCGGACAAAAATGAAACGTATTTTATTTCAAAGCTTTGTACTTGTAGGTATATTCACTTAAAGCGCTATGTTGTGACATATGGGAATTCTGAGATATGACGAGTCTAAGTTGAAAATATATTTGTCTAAAATGATTTGATATTTTTACATGTTATGTTGTTTGGCATTGCAGAGTAACCAATAAAAGTTAATAAAATAATATAAATAAATAAAAAATATAAATAAAATTATATAAATAAATAAAATATAATAAATAAATTATTATTAGACAACATCTCATACATTACTCCAACCCAAAATAAGTAGCTATGGCATTTGTGTTATGGAAATCGGGAACGACGAACCACAACACACCCAAACCAGAGACAATGTGAAAAGATCGTTTTCTATATTGTCTCGGCCGGGAATCGTACCCGGGACCTCAGGATTGGCCCGGCACACCTTGAAAACGGTATCGTCTATCCATTTTAAACCGAAACCCAATCAAAGAGTAAACTCGAATTCATTTAAACAGGTTTTAAGGCGATACGCGTGCGCGTTTCAACCGACTTGCACTGGCTGTGGTCCTTGGCTGACCGACGTGATCGAAACCGGGAGGTAATATTTCAATGTTACCTATCCGCATATCACGTTAAAACCTGTTTTAATTAATTAAAAATCTCAGCATTTTAGGTGTCCACGCGGCACAGACTTTTCTGGTAAAACAAACACCATTACGTTGCGCCACATACAAGGTATCCGTCACATTCAGCGACAACGTTACAAAAATTTTCACAAGTACATTAGCTCGTAGAGCTGATGGTCGCTGAGGCAGAGAAGTTCTCGAGTGGCGACCAAAACGTAGCGAAGGTGGGCAGGCCTCCCACTAGGTCAGTGGTTCTTAACCGGTGGTCCGCGGACCACTGGTGGTCCCTGGAAGTATTCCAAGTGGTCCACGAAGTGCACTTGCACATCTTGGTCAAAACCACTTTTAACTGATTTTTATAGTCAAACTGGTTTTGAGCGATTAGGTATGAGGTGGTTCCTGACAAGACAGAAATTTGGTAAAATGGTCCCTCATGACTGAAAGGTTAAGAACCACTGCACTAGGTAGACCGGTGATCTGGTGAAGATCGCGATAAGTATACCTGAATTCGGACAGTTGTGGAAAATCATTGGGGAGGCCTTCGTCAGTTTAGTTTAGGGGAGGCCTTTAGGACATCGTTGAATAAGGCATACCTTCCCGAAGCTGACGGTGCGGATGTGCTTGGTGCTGTCTTCGGCGCCGCAGCACTTGTCGCAGCGCACGCCCGCCACCAGCTCGGGCGCCGTGAACGCGCGCAACAACCCTGCCGGAACCAGAACTTACAATATACACACGATGACAACAAGAACACAAACTATAAGGGCCTCCGCTAAAACTTGCGCGGGTGCATGGAGCGGATGCCTACTCCAGTGGCCTAATTCACGTATTTTGACACAGTCAAAATCTCGCTGACGTTCAGAAGTCAGAATATTTATTGTCCGTGGTGCATAATCATTTCTTAAAGATTTTAAACCTTTGTTTGTCACCTGTCATCCGCTTTGCAATGGAGGGAAGTCGAACCTTAATTTCGTACTCCTCCTATGTTCTTCTGATTAATTTCGTTGCGGGTCCAATGACAGTTTGGTTGGGTTTTTGTGGCGGTCAAGCTGTAGATCCTGGCTACACAGGAGTTGCAGAGTGGTGGGAACGAGAGGTGGGAATAGTCCCGTGACGTTCAGAAGCCGTCCCATTGAAAAACAGTTCTAAATCCGTATTCACAAGGGTCATTTTGATAGAACGATTCGTCGATAGAATCGCAACTCAACGATTTGTTGTCGTTGAAGTTTTGCTACGTGAATAAGGCTACTGCAGACTTTTGATGCGTGTATGTACTCGCAGCCGCAGCGAGCATCTGCCGCGTGCGCCCGCCGTTCGCCGCGCGTTTGGAAACCCGTACACGCATGCGCACCAGATTTTCGCGCGAGTTTTAGCGGAAGCCATTAGATTTCATTTATATCACAATATTTATTGGTTTCCTTCGTCATTTAATTATATTTATATGATATCAAAAACTGATGTACAATGTAACTCACCGGGTAGACTAAAGGAGCCCGTGAGCCCGGTGCTGGCGTTGGCCATGGACAATGAGATGCTGTCGAACTTGTCGTAGCGCACAGGACTCTGAAAGAAGACAATACGTAGTTAGTTGTCATGCATGTTGTGATTTGTGATACATGTGGGGATAATAATTTGTTTCGAACTAAGACTTCTGGAGATCCGGGTCTTTTCAAGGCGAGAGTGAATAGGCACTTACAGCGCAGATATGTACCACCCTAGACTGAATTCCACTTAACATCAAGTGAGATTGTGGTCAAATATCTGCCTTGTTATTAATAAAAAAAATATATCAGCTGTAGTGTTATTGTCGTTGAAGTTTTATCCGTGTGGTGACGGCAGAGTAGAATACATTTGTCACCAACCCCTACTCTTCCCGCGGGTGTCGAAAGAGGCGTCTTAGGGACTACACAACAAACTGAAAATGGGCAGCAGCGCTCTCTGAAAAACATCAATCTTTAAACTGCGATCTCCAACCCCCCTGCCGAGCGTGGAGATTATGGCAAAACCCTCCACTATAGTGGAGGAGGCTCATAGTCCAGCAGTGGACTGTAAAGGGCTGTTGATGATGATGATGATGTAGTGTTATTGTAGTCAACAGTCACAAGAGCAGAAGAGCTGCTATCACAGGATTCATGTCGTAGGTTAAATAAATCAAAAAGGCTCAAAAAATGTGTGACCAGAATTGCGGGTGTGTTGGAAGAAATAGTAATAAGTATCACAATCGATTGAGATGAATCATTCATCAACTTCACCTTATTTTTAACCGACTTCAAAAAAGGAGGCGGTTCTTAATTCCGCAGTATTTTTTAATGTTTTTTCGGTCGCTTTGGATACGGATCGGAGACGTGGTCGCTTACTATGGGCCTCATAAGAAGGCTCAAGGTCACCCAAAGAGTGATGGAGCGTACTATACTCGGAGTTTCCCTGCGTGATCGAATCAGAAATGAGGAGATCCCTAGGCGAACCAGAGTGACTGACATAGCCCGCAGAATCGCTAAAATCAAGTGGCAGTGGGCGGGGCACATAGCTCGAAGAGCTGATGGCCGCTGGGGCAGGAAAGTTCTTGAGTGGCGACCGCGAGCCGGAAGACGTAGCGGGGGCAGGCCTCCCACTAGGTGGACCGACGATTTGGTGAAGGTCGCGGGAGGTGCCTGGATGCGAGCGGCGCAGGACCGGTCTTTGTGGAAATCCTTGGGGGAGGCCTTTGTCCAGCAGTGGACGTCTTTCGGCTGAAACGAACGAACGAACGACCCCAAGCTACCCATCCTTATCGCTCGCGCGTAATTATGTTGCTGTCGCGACTGTGCGACGGGCGCCCGCAGTGAGTGTGCGAGCGCTCGTCGTTCTATCTGCTTGGCGACCGGACTGTAGCAGATGAGATGTATCAGCAGTTCATTTTGTTTTTCCATTAGCTCAAACCCGGTACCTTGGCGCTGCAGACGGTGCAGTGCAGGCGCTCGGCCAGCGTGCCGCGGAAGGGCGGCGCGGGCGCGGGCCGGGCGGGCGCCGCGCTCCAGCGCCGCCCCACGCTGCTCAGGTGGCAGAACGACCGCGACACGCCCTTGCGCAGCGGCGCCGCCGGCTCTGGAGCGAATACATAATAAAAATGCTAACTTAAATGTATGTCTACACTAATATTATTAATGGTTGTAATGAATAGGCTCAAAAACTACTGGACCGTTTTTAAAAATTCTTTCACCATTCGAAAGCTACATTATCCACGAGTAACATAGGCTAAATTTTATTTTGGAAAAAAATAGGGTTCCGTAAAATATGTAGATAATGTAGTCCACGCGCGCGAAGCCGCGGGCGGAAAGCTAGTAGATAATATGTAGATGGAACACTATTACGTAGACGTTACAGGGATAATTTTTTAAGGCCTTGTTCAGACATGCGCGGTTTTTGGGTGATTGTTAGACATTTAGGCAGTAACAGTACAGTTAAGGATTGATGCAAATATACGAGAACTGCTAAGGAACAGCGCATCTATCGCTGTGTCTGAACCAATTCTTACTTATAAAGGCTTTTCAATAGCGTTGGACATTTGAACACCTAAAACGACTACTCCTCTTTTAGTGCTACTACTACTATGACTACTACTATGTAGCTGTAGCAGAATTAAACAAAACCAATAATAAAAAAGATTTTATACTTCGATAATTTATTTTTGTGCCATAGGGCAGCTTATGAGAGCCTATGCTTTTAAAAACTAAATTCAAAGTTCCAAGTTCCAATTCAATCACAAAGTTTCGGTTCTGAAAGTTTAGTTTGTCATATTATACGCGTCACTTAATTAAGCAATATGGCACGCGTGCTAGATTCAGGTGCAGTCCAACAGGACTGTTGTCTCTTGATTAAATCCTGCTGTCTCTCCCAGGGGAGCCACCCCTAGATGTGTACCTGCGTCCTCGAGGTCGGGCTCGTCGCCGGGCGCGGCGGAGGCGGGTCGCGCGGGCCGCGGCGGCCAGGCGGCGGGCGCGGCGGGCGGCGACGCCGGCGACGCTAGTGCCGACCACGCGCGCGCGCCGCCCAGCCCTAGCGCGTCGGATAGGCAGCCCGGCTGGATGGAAATGCAAGACATAGGTTATTAAACAAATATGGTCTAAAGCAGAGCCCCGATTACGGTAACTTTTAACGTTTCCAATCCAGACGCGCTTCTGATTCTGCGATACGATTGGTCAAAACAGCTGACGTACGCTGTTGAACGATCAATCGTATCGCAGAATCGAGAAGCGTGTCTGGATTGGAAACGTTAAAAGTTACCGTAATCGGGGCTCAGGGGTGGCCAAACTTTTGACCTGTGAGGTCTACTTAATTATTTACGATCGAAAATATTTCTTGCGGTCGACTGCAAGGTAGAGTTTAGAAGAGTGAAATAAAACATTTTAGTAGCAACAATACTACCACGTTACGACCAACCTAAGTGTTCGTGGCGCGAATAGTACATTTTAAAATAAGTTCAGTCCTTTTTAATATAAGGTTTTTTTTTGTAATTCCTTTTTTGTAAAGCAAGCAATAAACGATTTTTTATTTTATTTATTCAGTTTATTTAACTGTCACGGGCTACCAAAATAGTCTTCGCGGTCGACCGGTAGGCTGCGGTCGACCTCTTGGCCATCACTGGTCTAAAGTAATGTCAATACTAATTTGATGAATTTGGTGACCTAATTTCATGTGAAACTTGAAATTGAAGTTGTTTTAATATCTTATTATTACTACTGTCTTTCCCGAACACTATAATCTGGGCCTCTTCAAGAGAGAAGTTAAAAGGCACTTACACTGGCAGGTATTATACCTTAGACTGCATCTCAGCAAGTGTGATAGCTGTCGAAACGGCCATGTCACAAATTTGACTAAGATGTATAGTTAAAAGCTTGACTATATCTGAGAGCTGATAACTTTTTTACAGTCCAAGCCACACAAGTTTGTCTTGGCAGCATTTTACATGAAAATGTTTTATCGGATTATCTGAATATTCCAGCCACCAACCTTCTTAGCCATGGCGAGTGTCTCCTCCTCGACGCAGGACAGCAGCACGTGCATGAGCTCGTGCGCGTCCTGCTGGTCGGCCGGCACCACCCAGCCTGCTGCCCGCAACGCTTGTAGCACGCCCAGCGGACACACTGGAGTGCCCCGGGCGGCTTCGTGCGTGCCGTTCACAACTGAAATCATAAATAAGTTTAGTCCAACACACTCCTGTGATGTGGTGTCAGCCTCTGCACAGTGGACTGTCTTTCACGCTTGTTAACACACTGAACTTGCGATGTTCTGAACGTACAGTTCACTCATATAAAACCACAATAGTATTGTACTAAGACAAGACGTGTATTAAGTTGTTCGAAAATGGACTCTGTAGTCACCCATATATGTATGAGCCAAAAAATACTTCATTTGCGCGAGTTAATAACGTACAGCGCCATCTGTTGGTGGCGTTTTGAACTTAATACATAAACACTCTTAAACAACACTAGTTCCAATTTAAACAGGTGCTTTTCTTTTAGTTAGGCATACGGCAAAAACCTTATTGCTAATTAAATTATTAATTTTGTTATTGATTAAAATAAGGAAATTCTAAGTGAATAAAATTGGTTGAATAGTGTTAATGCTATCACAACAAAGTTTTTAATAACCCACTTTTGAAATGGATAAACACCGAAAAAAAAAGAGTACTTTAAGATAAATAAATCAACCTATCTCAAAAACTATAAGAGATACTTTGATCAAACCAAAAATCGTTGAAAGAGTTAATTAGCATGCATCACCTCTATTTTTTTTAGAATTTTATACCCCGTAGTTATAAAAATAGAGGGGGGGGGACATACTTTTTACGACTTTGAGAGCTGATATCTCAAAAACCGTTCACTTTAAGAAAAATGTTTTTTAGAAAACTTTATATCATTTTAAAAGACCTTTCCATTGATACCCCACACGGGTATGTACATCGAAAAAAAATTTTCATCCCTCAGTTANACCCAAGTACGTGTTCACACGTCGGCGCTTTTAAAACGCGACGCTTTTTTATCGAGCAGTGTTGCATTTTCAACGCAGAGCGTTGGGAATAGGCTTGGGTATGCATATTATGTTCTATTTGAACGCTTTTTTAACGGACGTTAAAAAAGCTCTCGTGTGAATTAGGCCTAATGAAACGAAGTTTAGAACTAGGCTTTCAAATGGTGCCAATATTGGTGGGAAGTGGGGATGCATACGTTTGAAAAGTGCTTGTCGCGGGAGGGTCGATTTTTGTGATGACCAGTGTTTAAGGGCGCCTTCGAGTTAGAGGCGTGGTGCCACTTGCACTGTGATACGCTTGCCAGTCGCTGCGCCACTGCCGTAACAAACGCGTCGTGCATTGCGTTTCTTAAAATCATAGTTATGGCGCCACTGTAACGCTTCCTCGCACCTCCAATTTGAAGGCGCCCTAAGACTTGATTTCTAGTCTATCTACGTTGACGTGTCGTGCACGTTAGGCGAGCGGACGAATAAAAACTACGTTAACATCACATGAAACTCAGGAACTGGTTTTTATTTATAAAAAAAACTATTATTATGTACTTGATGTATTCTTATAATTTACAATTTTACAATATAGCTTGTATTTAGTTTGCAATAAAGAAATCAAATTATCTCTGTAATATGTGACTTACCGGGTAGACTGAAGGAGCCCGTGAGCCCAGTGCTGGCGTTGGCCATAGACAATGAGATGCTGTCGAACTTGTCGTAGCGGACGGGACTCTGCAAATAGACAACGGTTTTTTGCAATACAATGTCGTAGGTACTTTATGGCGCCGGCCGGGGACAATAGTCATAAAACTCATTTTATTTCTGCAAATAGGCTTTTAAAAAGAACTTTTACACGTCCTAGTAATAAACCTACCACTTCGGGCTTCGGGACCGAGACAAGAATGTCAGATAAACAAAATTATATTTTAAATGGGACCGTGTTACGTGATACGTCTATAAAGCCCGGTCGTCGAGCACGTAGAATTTCGTCCAATGACCCCAAGCTACGCACACTAACTGCGGCCGTCCGTCGCACAGGCGCGACAGCAATATAATTACGCGCGAGTGATAAGGATGGGTAGCTTGGGGTCATTGAACGAAATTCTATTTGCTCGGCGACCGGACAGCAGATGAGATGTATCAGCAGTTTATTTTGTTTTTCCATTAGCCTCAAACCCCTGGGTACCTTGGCGCTGCAGACGGTGCAGTGCAGGCGCTCGGCCAGCGTGCCGCGGAAGGGCGGCGCGGGCGCGGGCCGGGCGGGCGCCGCGCACCAGCGCCGCCCCACGCTGCTCAGGTGGCAGAACGACCGCGACACACCCTTGCGCAGCGGCGCCGCCGGCTCTGGAGTAAATAACATTCTTGATGATAATTGAAAAGCTACAGTCCAGTCGCCGAGCACGTAGAATATCGACCAATGACCCTAAGCTACCTAGCCTTATCGCTCGCGTGTAATTATATTGATGTAGCGACTGTGCGACGGGCGGCCGCAGTGAGTGTGCGAGCGCGACAGCAACATACGCGCGAGCGATAAGGATAAGTAGCTTGGGGTCATTGGACAAAATTCTACGTGCTCGGCGACTGGGCTTTAGTTTCAACTAAAATATAAAAACGGGTCTTACAAATGGAACGCGAAAATTTAAAATCTTATATAGAAAAGCTGGTTTAACAATAGGTAGCGATATTATTACGTATGAACCAGGTGCAAGTTCACTATAATGGGCATGATGAGCCTGTCCACAACCTTATTAAATGTGTAACGTCTGGAGGTCTGCGATGTGCAGGTAGTGCCAATCCTAGGCTTTTATAAAAGCTTTAAGACATTTAAACACCTAAAATAACTGCTCCTCTTGTTGTTTTCTATGGAATAACAATAAAAAATTGAATTTGAAATTATGTGAATGTAGCAGTAAACCACAGAATAATAATAAGTACTTCGTACAGAAGGTTTACTTCGCGAAGGAAGGTAATGTTCACTCGTATGTGAGGCCTTGTCGAATAGTAATCCTGTAGGGTGCCATCGTATTGGTTTTGTTTTCGATGTAAAGTCGTGGAGATGAACAGGCCTGGTAAAACTTAGTAAAGTTGTACTTCAAGTTTCGATATTTTTTTTGTGCCATAAGACAATTTACGAAAGAGAAGTAGATTCTAAGCTTTTAGATCAATGGCTCAAATTTCGTGTATGTTAGTTGCAAATACACTCGGTATCAAATAAATCGCACCTCCCGCGACATGCTTATCAAACGTATGCATCCCCACTTCCCACCAACATTGGTACCATTTGAAAGCCTAGTTCTAAACTTCATTTCATTAACCCTTCATTTGGCAAGACATAAACTGTTTGATTTTTTCAATAAAATCTATTTAAACCTAATTGTTACTATCAAATAAAGTTAAGAAAAATAATAAAAAAAATATTTGGTTGGTATTTTCGCGAAAAACGACTGTTGCTTATAGACCACATTGCCAAATAGGGGTACTTAAATAAAATATTGAGATATATTATATAATTAATTTGTTGATATGAAAATCATAAAAAAAATCAATCGTATTTCACATTTTATGCATTAAACTATTTTTTGACCATTTTCGCAAAGTCGACAACGACCTTTTTCTCCAACATTTGATAGATGACTTATGTCATCATACTTCATGATCAATATGCCGAGCCAAGATTGGCTTTTTATTTTCTCTTTAGTTTCTGAAACTGGTATGTTACCGTTATATGCTATAGTTGTTGACTTCAACGCAAGAAAAACGTGTTTATCATTTAAATCAGTTCAGCGATATAAGCGTGAAGACAGACAACACAGAGACAGACAACAAATTCTTCCTCTCTCCTAAAATGCTGTGCCCGACAGGGTCCATAATTGCATCCAAAGTAATTACCATACCATCTCTATAACATATTCATGTAATACATGATTGATTTATTGGGTATTGACACTCGTTTGTATTGACAAAAAGTTAAACCTATTTTGTTAGATGTTTGGCACTGTTGCTTCTAGGCAACATCGAGGTTCGGAAGCATGTCATGTATTAGAAAACACTGTTTCTACGCCAAATATTGCTTTATATGATTAGTTTGATTTATTATGAACAAAATTTATACAAAACAAAAACAATTGGAGATCATAAAATAGTATAAAATCATAAAACTTCCGTCTTTGTTATTCTCATTGCGCGTCATCTTGACATCTGACAGAAATATGGATATAAAATCACTCAAAACTAAGTCGACGACCGATTTACTAGTGTTTTGCTGAACTAAGCTTCGTGACAAAATCGAACGATTTGCACAAAACTTATTATTAGGTCCTGTAGAAATATTCAAAGTGGTTGTTGCTTAAAAGCATCACTGCCAAATGAAGGGTTAAACATTGTCCTGACAATTAAGTTTATTGCGTCACAAACTTGCAAGCGTCTAATCTTTTACAATGTCGACACTTTTCACATGTGCTTTGTAAAGGCACCTACTTGCTTTAGAAATTGTAACCTTTTTCAGTAGAAACTGTGTTTAATAGTTCTGTTTTAGCAAGAAATAAATAATAATAATATAAAAAATTGACAAAATGTAATTAAGTTAGGAAAATACAGATTAACGGGTAAGGCTGGGTTGCACCATCTCACTTTAAATTTGACAAACGTCAAAAATCTGTCAAGCTCCATACAAAAAGCACCGGTTATCGTTATAGTTACGGTCAAAGTTAGGTGGTGCAACTCAGCCTAAGTGTGTGACAGAGTGCCGACCACGCGCGCGCGCCGCCCAGCCCTAGCGCGTCGGATAGGCAGCCCGGCTGGATGGAAATGCAAGACATGGGTTATTAAACAAATATGGTCTAAAGCAGAGCCCCGATTACGGTAACTTTTAACGTTTCCAATCCAGACACGCTTCTCGATTCTGCGATACGATTGGTCAAAACAGCTGACGTACGCTATTGAACGATCAATCGTATCGCAGAATCGAGAAGCGTGTCTGGATTGGAAACGTTAAAAGTTACCGTAATCGGGGCTCAGGGGTGGCCAAACTTTTGACCTGTGAGGTCTACTTAATTATTTACGATCGAAAATATTTCTTGCGGTCGACTGCAAGGTAGAGTTTAGAAGAGTGAAATAAAACATTTTAGTAGCAACAATACTACCACGTTACGACCAACCGAAGTGTTCGTGGCGCGAATAGTAAATTTTAAAATAAGTTCAGTTTATTTAACTGTCGCTACCAAAATAGTCTTCGCGGTCGACTGGTAGGCTGCGCTTGACCTCTTGGCCATCACTGGTCTAAAGTAATGTCAATATTAATTTGATGAATTTGGTGACCTAATTATGTGAAATTTGAAATTGAAGTTGTTTTACTATCTTATTATTACATACTACTGTCTTTCCAAAACACTATAATCTGGGCCTCTTCAAGAGAGAAATTAAAAGGCACTTACACTGACAGATATTACCACCTTAGACTGCATCTTACTTAATAGCTGTAATAGCTGTTGAAACGCCCATGTTACATACAATTTTGACTAAGATGTAGTTTGGCTCTACATTTTTTTACAGTGTGAGCCAATGGTTCGTCTTGCCCTCTCTGCCCCATCTAGGGGACATAGGACCATAAGTCTTACTTTTGACTTGGTTTGTTCATGGTTTGTCTTGTTTTTGATGGGATAATTTTTGATAGTGGATGTTCCAACCACCAACCTTCTTAGCCATGGCGAGAGTCTCCTCTTCGACGCAGGACAGCAGCACGTGCATGAGCTCGTGCGCGTCTTGCTGGTCGGCCGGCACCACCCAGCCCGCCGCGCGCAACGCTTGTAGCACGCCCAGCGGGCACACCGGAGTGCCCCGGGCGGCTTCGTGCGTGCCGTTCACAACTGAAACCATAAATAACTTTAGTCCAACACACTCTTGTGATGTGGTACCAGCCTCTGCTCCTCTTTCACGCTAGTTCCAATTTAAACAGGTCCTTTTCTTTTAGTTAGGCATACGGCAAAAACCTTATTGCTAATTAAATTATTAATTTTGTTATTGATTAAAATAAGGGAATTTTAAAAGAATATAATTGGTTGAATAGTATTAATGCTATCACAACAAAGTTTTTAATAACCCACTTTTGAAATGGATAAACACCAATTAACAAAAAGAGTAAGATGAAAAAAGCTGATTTATTAAACTTGCAAATAAAATTTAATATTCTATTATAAACAGTCACATAACGTCCCTTAGCTAACAACACCGCGTAAGTCATTTTTAGCAACATTTCAGGAGACGAAAAAAACTGTTTATTTTAAAAAATTGGTGGATTTTTCCTATTGTTACTTATTAAGTACTTTATTTAGCGGTTAAGAAATAATTATTTATACTTAATTTGACGATTTACTTTATTTTAACCTATATTTTATGACTTGAGCGGTATTGACTGATATTTTTGTAGAGTTAGGCGGTGTTGTTTGCCGAAATGTAAAGGAATAAGGTATTAATAGATGATTTACAAAGAAACATTTTATTAAGAATTATTTAAAAAAATTAAACAATCATTATAACCTATGTATCTTTAACCTAAATCTTAAGAATCACAGTGTGTAGATCAAATATTGTGATGGGGGGCCTTCAACGCGAAGCTGGGCAAACGAAACGACAATGAGCTGGAAGTGGGGCAATTTGGGTACGGAGAGAAGAACGCACGTGGCTAACTGCTGGCTGGTTTTATGGAGAGGGATGATGAACTCCTTCTTCAGAAAGCCAAAACAGCGAAAGTAGATTTCGCTGCATCCCAATGACGCTATGAAATATGAGATCAACTTCATCAAGATGAAGTCTGTGTGGTCAATTTGGTCAAAACAGGAAGCAATCACCAAAATAAATGGTAAGAGGCACGTTAAATATAAGTCCGAATCTCGATAGATGTCGACTGATAAAGTCTACACTCCACCCAGCGTCTATCCAACCCCGAAAGCTCAACTGGAGTTGCAAAATCGTTCCCAATGCCAGGACATTGAAAAAATGTGGAAGAGTACAATGGCAGGTTCTTGGGAATTGTCCAAATGACTGGGTCTAAGGTTTTTAAAACCCGTCGTTTAAGAGAAACAAAAAAGATCTCTGATCTCATCAACAACCTTATAGAACAGAGACGAAACATGGATCTGCAGTCATCTGAAGATGCTACTCAGTATCGGCGTCTTAACAGATAGATAGAACTCTAAGTCTTTTGACTCGCGACCTACGCATATACTCGTAATACAGACGATTGAGCATAACAAGGGCTCTAAGGTGTTTGTAAGAGATCAGTCTGTCTGTTGGCCAAAGCCAACTGACCAAGCTGAAGACCGAAAATAACGTCGGGGCCTGAGATATTGAAAGAGGTTGAGAACTTCTACGGACAATTATACACGACTGTGTTCACACCTGTTACAAATCTAGCCGAAGACCCTATAGCTCTGGAACAGCTGATAAACAACAAGGCCCCGGGTGATGATAGAATTACGGCTCAGCTTTTGAAAGCAGGTGAAATGTCGATGCTAAAGGCTCTTTAGAAGCTGTTCTATTCCGTCATCCTCGAGGGAAAAACTCCTACGGGACGGCACAGAAGTGTGGTGATACTCTTCTTCAAAAAACAGCGATAAAACCTTGTTGAAGTATTATAGACCCATCTAACTTCTTAACCATGTCTACAAGCTGTTTTCGAGTAATTATGAATCTAGCTCTAGCTCGCCGACTCGACGCCTTCCAGCCTCCTGATCAAGCTGGTTTCCAGGCTGGCTGACAGGCTTTAGTGTCTTAGATCACATACATACGCTGCGCCAGATTATACAGAAGACCGAGGAGTATAATCAGCCACTTTGCCTGGCGTTTATGGATTATGAGAAGGCCTTCGATTCGATTGAAACCTGGGCAGTTGTTTACGCCGTTTATGTCCTCCTTCTTGTAATTGTGCACATAAAAATTCATCACCTGAACTCGGAATACTTCAAGAATCAATTCCTTCTCCATCAATAGTGTAATTTACTTGTATAGCTTCCTAAAAGAATTAAAATACAGTTTGAAACACCGCCTAAGTTTGAAAAAAAAATTGTAAATGAAGATATTTTCTATTATCATTTCCTTATATATTAATACGCGTAAATCATAAAAAAATACATTATTATATAGCTTACCTCTTAATCTTCTATTAAAACTTCTTTCATAGACCTTTTCACGATAAAACTCACTTAAAAATATAAAAATTACAGAGTGCGAACGAACTTTACGAGAAATGTATGGCAGACTAACGACTTGAGCGGTGTTGCGAGGCAAACCGACTTGCGCGGTGTCACTAAAATTCAAATTACGGCTTCTTATTGGCTGAAATCTACAACATGTGACCAATGGTTAGACGCGCGATGAGCAGATCTATCCAATGGCATTAAAATGTCAAAACCGCAAAAATCGACTTAAGCAGTGTTGTTAGCTAAGGGACGATAACACAAAAACCACACTAATTCAGTTCCCTTGTGATATTTTCCAAATTAAATTAAAATATTGATTTTTCTTACTAAAATAAGTTCTTTTTCTTATTTTATTTATGGCCAAGTCTGGAATATTAGAGCCCAGAGACTTGCTGAGGCAGCCGAGACAACAACCTCCCCAATACCACCAGTAAGTTTATTATTTAGTTGAGTCCTGCATAATTAATATTAAAAGAAATGATAAGAGATATTGCTACAATTTGATTATATGATAAGATAGCACACCAACCTTCAATAACAGTGTAAAGTGTAGTGATCATACTGTTATGGCCATCAGCTTTGGCGTATTTCTTCAGCCAATCTATGAAGGCGGGACAAGCAGCAAGCGCTTGCAGCAATGTGTTGAGGAAGCAGGTCCTGCCCAGGTTCTGCAGGCCTGCTATCTGCCCGCGCCTCTTCCGCACCCGGGGCGCTCCTCCGGGACCCCAAAGAACGAAAGCCCCGACCACCACAGCGGCCGTAAGCCCCGCAGCCACAAGAATCCTGTCGCCACTCTCCATTGTCCCAACACTAACGATTTAGCTAGCAACCGGTCAACGGGACCTTACATAATATTCATAATTTAACATTTAAAACCACTAAGTATTAAAATGTTGTGTAATCTTGAGGATTTTTCCTACTTTTCATGAAAACCCTGCGACTGGAGACGAAAATTCGACTTTGACATTTTTTTGACGTTTTGTGACATTTGTCATTTCGTTCGAAAACATAACGCGGAGGAAATCACTTACTAATCGATTAAAACTAAACCGATTTCCGTTCATCAAAAACGGTAAAATAGCACTGTCAGTTGTTGTTGACAGCTGACTGTCATTTGGTTGACTTGACAGCTAACTAACCTCAATTTTTGCAAATAATCAAAACAAACCTTTGTTTTTGTGAAGATTACAAACATTTCACACGTTTATCTGTTACTAGCCGCGTTAAAGTTAGCATGTGCAGTGATAGTGTAATAAACTGAGCCTGTTTCTATCATCCTTTATTAACAATGCTGCTTACTTTAAGTGCAAATTTTATATCGTTGTGTTTTTGTATCTAAAGTGAAATGATTCCTTCTAATACTATTTGCGTCTCTCAGGAGGGCCCAGCTAATGCTTTGGCCCTCAACAAAGACTGCAGCCAAGTTGTAATTGCCGGGAGAAATGGTAAAATTGTATTCTATTACAATGATGATTTATGAACATTATTTTTATTTATTTGTGGTTCATTTATTAATGCTATTTTTTTTACAGTATTCAAAGTGTTTTCAATTGGGGAAACTGAATTTACCGAAGTCTGTAATCTGCGTGTTGGCAAAAACCTGAACCTGAATTTTTCTTCAATAGATGTAGCTTGGAGTACCATTGAAGGTGAATAAAATTAAAATACAACTATATTTCTTTCTGTATCTAACATAAACCTCAATATTGTTCCTATCATCACCTGTACTTTTTCATCCAGAAAACACATTAGCCACAGCAGCCACCAATGGGGCTGTGGTGGTGTGGAACCTCGGCCGCTCCGGTCGCTCTAAACAAGAGCATGTCTTCTCTGACCATAAAAGGACTGTCAATAAGGTAAGAACTTCAACCTATATCAAACTTCTAATCTAGAAACCATACTATACCTAACCACCAATGTTTTCCATTACATCAATTATTGGAGCAACAATAACAATGGAATTAGTGTTAATTAAACAGCCAATCCCATATTTGCTTGTTTAAAAATACACTTTTATCTATTAAGTATATCCAGTTATCTTGTTAATTCGGTTCTATATTGGCTCACATAAAATTCNTTGAAAAGTTATGTAAGAAAATGCGCTACCTGTTAATTCATTTCGAATTGATAGTTAATGATCCATAACTGGTCTTTAATAACAATTACAATATCAAGTTTATTTTATTGTACCCTATTTTTTATGTTAATAACAGGTTAGCTTCCATCTGACTGAGCCAGCATTGCTGATATCTGGATCTCAAGATGGTATGATGAAATGCTTTGATCTTCGCATGAAAGAAGTTGCCAGGACATTTATCAGGTAAAGGTCAATTTTTTATCTAATTTTATCCCTAGGTTTTGTTAGCATAAAACGGTTTGTACACAAATTGATTTCACACTTTTTGGAATAATTTTGCTTCTCTCTGCATTCTCTGCAACTGTGAAGAGTGGCATAAAATAATAAATAAGCTTATTCTGAAGTGTTTCCTAATAATATTGGGTGAGTATAACGGCGCATCCACACATGCGGGGTGGCGCGGTCGGCGACCAACCCGGCGGTCGTGCATCTTTTACTGGCAAGGCAGACTGAAAGCCGGCGGCAAACCCGGCGGTATGTGTGGATGCGCCATAATGGAAGCTACTGATGATGCTAGGTCACATTGGTTTGATTGTTGACTATTACCTACCTATTATAAACAACTGTCCTCTAGGTTTTCTGGAAGAGATCGCTTTATAGCGATAATGCCGCCTAAATTGTGCCATATCTTTTGTATATTTCTTTCTCTTATCTTGTCTAGCATGGTGTACTATAAAGTATGTTCTATCTATCTATTGTTTACTAAACCAGCAACACGGAGTCGATCCGCGACGTGCAGTTCAGCCCGCACCAGGCGCACCAGTTCGCCGCCGTGTCCGAGAACGGCTCCGTGCAGCTGTGGGACGTGCGCCGCCACGAGCGCTGCCTGCAGCACTTCACGGCGCACTCGGGGCCCGTGTTCGCCTGCGACTGGCACCCCGAGCTGCCCTGGCTGGCCACCGCTTCCCGGGACAAGACTATCAAGGTAATATTGAGGCTGGAAGCAACTTGTGCACTTCACGGCGCACTCGGGGCCCGTGTTCGCCTGCGACTGGCACCCCGAGCTGCCCTGGCTGGCCACGGCTTCCCGGGACAAGACTATCAAGGTAATATTGAGGCTGGAAGCAACTTGTGCACTTCACGGCGCACTCGGGGCCCGTGTTCGCCTGCGACTGGCACCCCGAGCTGCCCTGGCTGGCCACGGCTTCCCGGGACAAGACTATCAAGGTAATATTGAGGCTGGAAGCAACTTGTGCACTTCACGGCGCACTCGGGGCCCGTGTTCGCCTGCGACTGGCACCCCGAGCTGCCCTGGCTGGCCACGGCTTCCCGGGACAAGACTATCAAGGTAATATTGAGGCTGGAAGCAACTTGTGCACTTCACGGCGCACTCGGGGCCCGTGTTCGCCTGCGACTGGCACCCCGAGCTGCCCTGGCTGGCCACGGCTTCCCGGGACAAGACTATCAAGGTAATATTGAGGCTGGAAGCAACTTGTGCACTTCACGGCGCACTCGGGGCCCGTGTTCGCCTGCGACTGGCACCCCGAGCTGCCCTGGCTGGCCACGGCTTCCCGGGACAAGACTATCAAGGTAATATTGAGGCTGGAAACAACTTGTGCACTTCACGGCGCACTCGGGGCCCGTGTTCGCCTGCGACTGGCAAGATTATCAAAGTAATACCCTAGAAATAAAGAGCGATTTTGCTGTTTATCACAGAAAATGTAAAAGATGCTTTGGGGTTTATCACAGCGTATTCAAGGCCTGTGAGCTAACTGCAGCTGAGCATTCTGACGTGATTTGAATAGTTTCTCAGGGTAATCTAAATTCGAAACAACACTTGGCCTCTTGATCAGGCCATTGTGCGCTTTGACTACGTATCGCTTTTCATCTACTACAGATATGAGAAAAACTTATTAAAGTTGCTATGCCTATGAACATAGCCGATAGCGCGTCGATATCATGGTTGTCGGCCTGCATTTACTACAAAAGTCGTGACGCCTTAAATGCATATTTCAAACCAATATAACTGTTTTAGTCATAACTACTCATATCAAATAGACAAGTTTGTGTTTAAAATGGCACGCGCAGTTTTAATCAGTCATTAACATTAGGCGGCTGGACGTAACCCAGACGGGCGAAGTAGGTCACCGATAACGAATCTATTCACAGGCGATGCAACACTTGTCCACAGTTTAGGCACTAAATTCAGGACAAGTCCGCCATTATGCACGAGAAATCAATCCCACGTGTCCTATTTTATTGCTGATTTAGTCATGATAATTTCAAAAACAAATCAAATGAAAATAATCATCCAATGTTGCTTTTAAAGTAGTAATAAAGAAGTAAGAATGTTTTTGTAAAGTTGTAGTCCATTAATATGTTACAATATGGTAATATTAGTTATTCTAGCACACTCCACGAGCTATCGAGCACAGCAGTTGCTATGTTTGGCTTTTGTTTATCAGTTAGTCAATTAAGATAACTGCAGCACGAGTATTGATTTAGCGGGAGTTAATAATATCGTCTACACCTACTTACAGTCTCAATAGACATAATTATGTACTTATTACCACATTGTAAAACAATTGCACTCTTTCTGACCTATTGGATATCACTTAATGATAAAAGACTGCTTATGAGCTTAGCAAATTGATAAACAAATAGACTGCACAGCTGCAAAGCAAATAGTTTGTAAACTTGATTCTAATGTCAACAGATCTGGGACATCCACGCGAAACCAAACCTGGAACACACCATATACACGATCGCCTCGGTTGGACACGTCAAATGGAGACCACAAAAGAAGTATGTTAACAAAAGTAGCATTAATTATTTGTCAAATATGTTCTATGTTGATCAAAATTATGACCGCCACTAACATGGCAGTGCAGAGGACAACAAATTAGTCTTGGAAATTAAAAGTGTTGCCCAAATAACCAACAGGTCTAATGGTTCGCGTGCCAGCCTGCAGCGGAATCTAAGACGTCTTCATCTACAAGTCATTTGTCTAAGTTACCATTGTATCCACCATTGGCCACCCCTGCACTATACATACTTAGCCGTCTTTACGACGACGTCGTCATACACAACTTTTTGATTTTTTCGACTTTTCGAGCCGTCACCACAGCGACTGGCTCGAACCGTATACGAATACGAGCCAGAGTCATTCCACAATTCAAACAGTCTTATGCCCGTTTTCGCCATCAATCCCTAATTTTTAAGTGACCACTATGGTAGCACATAATATTAATTTTGTTTTCATAGAGATCACTTGGTGAAAACGGGCATTATGCTCATCATTCAAACTCGTAGTCGCAGCTGGTGTTTGTAAAACGAAGTAGCAAGTTAGCAAGCCGCGGTTGTGAGGTGCTAGTGCATTTGGTGGTCAGGTTCCAGGTGGCGTCGTGCGCGCTGGTGCTGGACTGCGCCGTGCACGTGTGGGACGTGCGCCGGCCGCACGTGCCGCTGGCCACCTTCGCCGAGCACCGTGACGTCACCACCGCCATCGCCTGGCAGGCCGACCCGCACACCTTCCTCTCCACCAGCCGGGTGAGTCCACTCACTAATGTCGGCCTTATGCAGTACACTCTTGTTAAGTCTGGTCTGAGAGCCCAGGCTCGCCCGATTACCTCGCGAGATAGCCCTATGTGCGAACACAAGACTGAGAGTGAGCAACAGCGAGACGAGGTAGTGCGAGCTCCATGTACATTCTCGCACTCGGCATGTCATGTGGTCTCTGGGTGAAAGTGTACAGCCGTCATTACACTTTTCACTTTAAGCCAGTCATTTGAAGAAATATTGTTTCCAAGCTCTACTACAATCATAAAACTCAATTGGTATTCGTAGCAAATTCCCTCTTTTAAAATATAGTATGGGGTCGCTTCTTCTTTTCTTCTACTGTCCCCGGAGGCGTAGCGTCATAGATGCGTATCGTCATAAGCTTGCTTGCAGCTTACGTACAAGACACTGTTGACGGAGCGCCAAAGTCATGCTTGCGTCGCTGTATCGCGCTGTACCAAGGTAACGATTTCACCAGGGAGGGTGCAGATGCTATGAGAAGCTAGCTCGCCCAGAACATGCTAGTTTACCAACTTGTATCTATTGTTCTTGTTGATTTAGGGCCCTCGCCCACGGCGACTTTTTGTAGCGATGCAGTTGCGCTGCTGTAGCGCGTTGGCATCACTTCTGTAGTGCGTCGTAGCGATGCTGTCGTGCGTTTCGTAAACGTTGGCGAATCGCCGTGGGCGAGGGCCCTTACATATCATTTAATATTCTGTTATTTATCGTTTGCATATGACAGCAAATGTATATCTTCTCCCCCGTGTGGGGACGGCCATAAAGAATACTCTTCCCCACCGCCAACAGGAGGCGTGTCGTAAGAGGCGACAAAATCCCTGCAGCACCGGAAGGGCAGCAGCGTCTGCATGCGAAACCTTATAAAAAACTGCGATCGCCAACCCGCCTGCCAAGCGTGGCGATTAAGGCAAATCCCCCCCATGGAGAGGAAATCCTTGGGCGAGGCCTTTGTCCAGCAGTGGACGTCTTTCGGCTGAAACGACGACGACGACGTATATCTTCTCTGTTGTGTGCAGGACTGCAGCCTGTACCGGCACCGGTTCACGGAGGCGGCACACCCGGTGCTGTGGGCGAACCCGCACGGGGTCTGTGTTTCTGCGCGCGGCGAGCTGGCGCACGCGGCGCCCGAGCGGCCGCTGCCCGCGCTGCACCCCTACTGCCACCCGCCCGGCGAGCGCGTCGTGCCCGGACTGGGGTGACTACTGATTGTTCTTTATTGCATCGAATAAATATTTTTCTTTCTTTCTTTCTTTCTTTAACCAAATGCCGGCTACTGTTGGTCAAAAGCCCAATTGCTCATAAGATAGGCCCCCTTTAATGAGGGCTATCGTTTTAGCGCTCACCAGTTTGCGCCACTGTAGAGTAAGGTCCTGTCACTTGCTAGTAGCGAAGACAGTGGCACCAACTGGTGAGTGCTAAAGTGGTAGGAGGACTATCGCATTTGCACTCATCAAGATGGCGCCACTGTAGATGTATGATTGTAGATTGTAAGGTCCTGTCAATCGCCAGGGGTGTCAACTGTTAAGTATAAAAACGATAGCCCTCATTGATATTTATTGTCCGTGGTGCATAATCTTTTCATGATGGTTTTAAACCTTTGTTTGTCACCTGTCATCAGCTTTGCAATGGAGGGAAGTTGAACCTTAATTTCGAACTCCTCATTTATGTTCTTCTGATTAATTTCGTTGCGGGTCCAATGACAGTTTAACTTTCCCCCGGGACAAACTTGACCTTCATTGGTTGGGTTTTTATGGCGGTCGAGATGTAGATCCTGGCTACACAGGAGATGCAGTGGTAGTAACGAGAAGTCGGAATAGTCCCGTATGTTGGTCAAAAGCCTTCTTAAAAGATTTCCACAACGATCGCTTCTGTGTTGCTCGCATCCAGGTCCTTCATCAGATCGTCGGATGTGCATGTGGATTGAGTGATCCTTGCTTCAATCTTAACAAAAATCGAGGAAGTTTTACTTAAAATATGTTAAAACATTGCGATGAAGTTTAAAAATTTGTTAAACCTAAGATAAAAATGTTATGGCCAATAAATAGGAGCACTCATACCGCACGCTTTAAGAAAACGTCAACATGTTTATTTCAGAAAATAAAGCCTTTCCACTTCTTTTTATAGTATTGAAAAATTGTTAAGAATATGTTAAAACTATTAACAAATTCAGAAATTCCTTGCACGTCCCGTTCCAAAGTTATGACGATTATTTAGGATCACTCACACCGCACACGGGCCGTATGAGTGCTCTTCAAAATAATGACTTTTTATTAATAAATACGTTTTATTTCTGTTGGGAAATGTGTGCAAACTGACGAGCGAATTTGTTAAAGAATAAGTGTGACAAAACTTAAAAGCTGAAGGAAGAAATTAACCTTTATTCTTTCCTCCAATATGCCGTGTGAGTGATCCTTACTTTTACCTCTATCTGCTCATATGTAGTTCGTAGGCAGACTGAGATAGTATCTAAAATTGTTAATTGTTTTTAACAATTATTTGGCATATATTTTGCTTTTATTAAGGTCATAATTTAAGAAATATCAGGCTTAGATGATTCCTAAAGGAAAATGTTGATTAGGGTACATATGATTTTTTATTTTGTGAGACTGTTCCGATTCGTCAGACGTGACAATGCAAAACCAATGCAATCTAATATGTATTAGGTGTCCTGTTTATATTTTATTCCTATTGGCTAACTACTCTTCTAGACATTCTGTTTTACTTGACATACCTAGGTATATACTTTAGGTGTTTTGTGTCCTGTTTATATTATACTAGCTTTTGCCCACGGCTTCACCCCCGTGAAATTTAGTTTGTCATATATCGTCATAAATTATAGCCTATATGTTATTTTGGGTTATAAACAATAATACTGTAAAGTTTCATCAAAATCCGTTCTGCAGTTTTATGCGTGAAAAAGTAACAAACATCCAGACATCCACACAAACTTTCGCATTTATAATATTAGTAGGATAGGATTCTATGTTAACATTCTGTTTTACTTGACATACCTACATACTTTAGGCGTTTTAAATAAACACTGAACTGGAATTTTCTTTATGTCATGCTATATGGCATGATAAACAATGTAGAAAGGCTGCATATAAAATTAAGGATGTAGGTTTATAAGTACAGGTTACACACGGCAGGCATCTAGAAATGTATAGATTTCGATGTGCTCTTTACGAATTTCAACTTTGCGACCTCCTATTGTCTCCGCGGGCGCCACCAAATTGAAAAAATGCTGCTAGTAGCAGATTTTTTCAAATAATTCCTTTAGGATTATTTTTGATAAAACGTCCTTAGGAAAACTTCTGATGAATCGAAACAGTCTCTCAAAATAAAAAATCATACGTACCCTAATCAACATTTTCCTTTAGGAATCATCTAAGCCTGATATTTCTTAAATTATGACCTTAATAAAAGCAAAATATATGCCAAATAATTGTTAAAAACAATTAACAATTTTAGATACTATCTCAGTCTGCCTACGAACTACATATGAGCAGATAGAGGTAAAAGTAAGGATCACTCACACGGCATATTGGAGGAAAGAATAAAGGTTAATTTCTTCCTTCAGCTTTTAAGTTTTGTCACACTTATTCTTTAACAAATTCGCTCGTCAGTTTGCACACATTTCCCAACAGAAATAAAACGTATTTATTAATAAAAAGTCATTATTTTGAAGAGCACTCGTACGGCCCGTGTGCGGTGTGAGTGATCCTAAATAATCGTCATAACTTTGGAACGGGACGTGCAAGGAATTTCTGAATTTGTTAATAGTTTTAACATATTCTTAACAATTTTTCTATACCATAAAAAGAAGTGGAAAGGCTTTATTTTCTGAAATAAACATGTTGACGTTTTCTTAAAGCGTGCGGTATGAGTGCTCCTATTTATTGGCCATAACATTTTTATCTTAGGTTTAACAAATTTTTAAACTTCATCGCAATGTTTTAACATATTTTAAGTAAAACTTCCTCGATTTTTGTTAAGATTGAAGCAAGGATCACTCAATCCACATGCACATGATCGTCGGGGGCCTGCCCAAACTACGTCTTCCGGCCCTTGGTCGCCACTTGAAAATTAATTGTTATCACCATTTTAACCAAATGACGCTCATTGGCCAAATCCCATACCGAAAGATTTCCAGAACAGTCAGTTCTGCGCTGCTCGTATCCATGTGCTTCCTGCGACCTTCACCAGACCGTTAGTCTACCGAGCGGGAGGCCTAGCTACACTATGTTTTCAGGTCTGGGGTCGCTACTTGAGAACTTTTCAATTTCACAACTTTTCAATTCATTCGATCTATGAGCTGTATGCTCCGCCCTTTGTCACTTGAGTTTGGCAATTCGGGGGACTATTTCATATCAGTCACTTTGGTTCTCCTCATTTCTGATTTGATTACGTATAAAAATTCCGAGCAAAGCATTTTTAGTGACTGAGCCTTCATAAGGGACCTCACCTCCAATTCGTTGTTCATCACTGGCAACACAACCGATCAAGGACTTTAGTCCTGTGCAGTGAACGTTGATACGGAAAAAATACGTGTACAATATTTTTTATTATCTGTTTAACCTCTCTTATGCTTTGTCTCATATCTGTGCAACCTCTGTCAACTGCTTTGTCTCAGATCTAAGACAATACTACTTTGTCATTTTGAAACATCATTTGAAAACCGTAGCAGTTGGGGGTGCAGTTTTGCGCGGTCATTTGTCTCGTTACATTTTGTCATTTACCTTATTTCCTAATGGCTTCAATCTGCTCCCCAGCCGCAAGCAGCCGACGGCCGGCTCACTAGGCGCGTCCGCACAGGCGGCGCTGGAGCGAGCGTTCCCGGGCGGCGCCGCCTCTACCTTGTGCCGCTACCGCACGCGCGTCGATCCCGTGGCCGGCGAGCTGGCCGCTAAAGAGGCTGATGAGAAGGCCAAGGAGGCCGATGAGAAAGGAACCAATGGGCAAGTGAACGGGAGTGATGACGTGGACGATGACAATGAAGACGATATGTGAGTTTCTTTTTGCTGCAGGTGTTATGGAGACATGTGCTGCTATGACATTGCACGAAAATTGTGATGTGGTCTCTTGAAACACTTACATGTCTGGATAGACCCGGTTGCTGTAAATGTAATGCTTGTATAGAAAATGTCTAGAAACAGCAGCCGAGTAATGAAACGGTAATGTAGATAACACTGAAAAAAATTTTTGGTTACTGCTTAACACAACAAAAGTGACCACCGAACTGTTAACTATTACCAAATTAAGTCTAGCTCACTACAGAGTTATTTGTTTAATTTACACAACATTTTGTTCCTCATAACCAAAGTGTTCGGTGGTCACTTTTGTTGTATAAGCAGTAACCAAACATTTTTTTCAGTGTATAGAGTGGAACTTAACTGTATTCGAAATCCTTCTTCTATCATGGGGGTCGCCGAAGCCTGTAAAGTCGCAACCAAATTGAGATCAAATACACAAAGTGACTTAACACAAATTTGAGTCAGACACTGAGTATCGAAACCTCCTCGTCAAGAATCTCATTCTCTTGTTGAATGAAATACATCACCGACACTACGAGAGATTATTGATTGAAAGGCTTTGTGGTGTAAAATAAAATTATATTGTAAAATAAAATCAAATTACATGTTTTGTTCAAGAGTAGAAAAGTCAAGAGAGAAGAGAAAAAAGTGACAGTCGTATAAACATAAAAAGTAAAAAGAAGTTTCTCGCCTGCCAGGCGCGCGGCCAAGAAGTTTGGTCGCACCTTTGCGACCTCTGTTACAATTTTACTAGGCCGTATTCAAACAGACCTGTACACTTGTCATTGGAGCTTGGAGTCAGTAACTTATTCTCCTGTATGCTTAGGGACCGGCGCACGTCGGCGCTGGTGGGGTGCGCGCTGCACTACCGCATCCGCGGCGCCTGCCCGCACGAGCTGGCTGCCCGCAACGCCGCCGTCGCGCGCTCCTACAACCGGCACATGGTACGGACTACATTATTAGTACTTAACCTAGAAGCTTGTCATGATCATCGTAATCATTTAGATAGTAACTGCACCATACGAGCACATGATCTTATTCACAAAAGGTAACTGGAGGGTTTGAACACAGACCACACCCTGATGGATTGGAAACTCATACTACTTTACTAAATAAACCAGTCATCACCTTTTGATTGCGTTAGCAAAGTAGTTCTTTTCTGCTCCAAGATGGGGATAACAGATGGGCCTGCATATTGGTAATTTTAAGTCGACGCTCAAACGAGTTACTGAAAAAAAAAGTTTCTACTGTAAAACGCATGAACAACGAAGTGACCATCTGAAGTTCCTTGTTTCCATTTGAGGCACCCTGTCATAGCATAGCAACCCGGCTGGCCAACATGGGAAGTTTAGGCCACATCCTCTATTCACACACTCTGCTCGCACACTCACTGCGGCAACAGCAATATAATTACGCGCGAGCGATAAGGATGGGTAGCTTGGGGTCATTGGACGAAACTATGTGCTCGGCGAGTACTATCTGGTCTTCGACCTCTAGGCCGGTTCGGGCGTCGAGCTGGTGCTCATGGCTCGAGCTTCTTTTCGGCTGGCTACTGCCAGTCGGTGGTTGAGGCGTCGCTTTGGCGACGGACTGACCTGAAGCTTCTACCTGGCACCACTGTCCCGCCCTCGGCGCGGTACCAGCCCACCGGGTGAGTCGACGTCGGTCGAGGCCCAGTGAACGACGCGGGCGGTTCTTGGATACCAGGGAGCTTTCAGGCAGTCATGTTATGCTCGGCGACCGGACTTTAGATAAGGGTCGTGCTCCTGCGAGATGCTGTGGAGACAATGATGACTACTATAACTTATGTTTCTCTTGCAGGTGGCGCACGTATGGGAGGTGGTCCGCGCGGTGTGCGAGGCGCGCGCCGCCTCCCGCCGCCCGCCGCCGCCGCGCCCGCCAGAGCCGCGCGCCGACCCGCCGCCGCCGCCGCCGCACTACAGGCAAGGGGCAAATATCTGTATCAACTCGGGTCTAGTATCCAATAGTCAATCATCTCCACCTCTTACCAGCCGGAATAAAGCGCCAGAATGAAGTGCCGTGATAAATTCTTATCGATAAGAATATATCACGGCGCGCATTTTAGACTTCAAAATGTACGGGTTTTTCGCGTATATAGATAAAATGGCGCAATAGCTTAGGCCTACTGGAATGGTAATATTCGTAATCAAAATGCCTCGCCAAAAAACAAATAGTTTGATATAAAGTCAAGTAGTCGAGATTCAGTTATTGCTTACATTCTCCAGAACCTATTCAACATTATGCATTACATATTCTCAAAACTTCTAGTGAAAGACATAACAAGTACTTATTTTTTATAGAGTTCGTGACACCCAAAGTGACGAAAAAGTTGACTTGTAAAGACGTGTTGCGAACTTATTGGCTACTTGACGCTGCTGTATTTTATTTTGAAATAAAAGCAGATGCAGACCAAGAGACTCATCTTCGGAGAGATCATCTCGTCGCGAGTAATAAAATGTAAATGGATATATCCCACAGCGCCGTGGAGGAGGAGCCGCTGGAGGAGGCGGAGGAGTGGGCGGAGACGTCGTTCCACAACAGCGGCGTGCTGGGCATGCCCACGCTCACCATCTACATCCCGCCCGCCAAGTACGCCAAGCAACTCCGGGAGGACAGTACGTATCAAATTATCACTTCAGATTTGCAACAAAATCTTTTCAAAACGGTAAATAACATGTTTACTCTTCCGACGTTGGACTGTACGTACCCAGAGTCCTTTGGGCTTAATTTAAGTTTACGTTAGCTGTATTCGCTAGACGTATGACAGGTTGCACAGCGTCCCTCGGCTACTTTAAAGAACAAATTTTTTGACGATTTCTTTGACGCACTCTAGTGACTGCTCACTACTAGTGAGCATACCTAACGTAATCTTCGTGGAAGCTTGTATAAAGTGGAATCTCTAATATTATCATTAACTTCGAACTCCTATGTTTACGATTCCTAGGTCCCATTTCCTCTCGGAACTTAGCCTTCTTGCTTGCCATTTGTTTGGATCTTATTGGCAGTCAAAGTAAAGATCTTGGTTATACAGGAGTGACAACGGTAGAAACGAGAGATGGGAATACTCTAATATCTACCAGTCTAGCCAGCGTGTAATGTTGGCCAAATCCTTCATTTTCATCAATTCGTGCAGGACCTCATTTTGTGCAGAAGCACAGGAAAATGAAGACTCGTGTTTCTGTAGACACTTAAAAAATCTGTATGTAATGTACAAAAAGTCCGAGGTTCGGAAAAAACTAAAGTGTGTCAAAATAACGCGTACATTTTTGTAGGCGAGAACATGGGCTGGGTGTCGGCGGCGTCGGCGCACTACGTGGACATCGAGGCGGCGGACTGGACGCTGCCCGAGGAGGCCTTCCCGCTGCGCACCGCCCCGCCGCCCGCGCCCCCCCACACGCCGCCCCACCAGCCCCACCCGCCCCACCCGCCGCCCCACCAGCCCGCGCCCGCCACCCTCACCGAACACACAGGTACTGACGACGGCAACTAAAGTCCGGTCTGTGAAGAATAGAAGAATTTTGTCCAATGACCCCAAACTACCCATCCTTATCGCTTGCGCGTAATTATATTGCTGTCGCGACTGTGCGACGCGCGCCCGCAGTGAGTGTGCGAGCGCGACAGCAACATAATTACGTGCGAGCGACAACGATGGGCAGCTTGGGGTCATTGGACGGGATTCTACGTGCTCACGGACCAGGCTTTAGTCTGGTGTGCTGATGACGGCCGCACCGCCCTGCCGCCCGCGCCGCCCCACACGCCGCCGCACGTGCACGCTAACTCAAGCTTGAAGCTGTGGCAACTAAAGCTTGGTCCGTGAGCACGTAGAATTTTGTCCAATGACCCCTTTTTATCGCTCGCGCGTAGTTATATTGCTGTCGCGACTGTGCGACTGGCACCCGCAGTGAGTGTGCGAGCGCGATAGCAACATAATTACGTGCGAGCGATAAGGATGGGTAGCTTGGGGTCATTGGACGAAATTCTACGTGCTCACGGACCAGACTTTACGCTCACCGAACACACAGGTACTAACGAACTCAAGCTGACAGTATCAGCTTTGACAGTGACACCACGTGACGACCTTGCACTAGTATTTGACTAATAATCACGCCCACTGAAACTCTTGATTGTTGCGTGTTAACCACGGAATGTAGGTATCACCGATCAAAGCAATGAGGGCTATCGTTTTAGCGCTCACCAGTTAGCGCCACTGTAGAGTAAGGTCCTGTCAATCGCCAGGGGTGCCAACTGTTAAGTATAAAAACGATAGCCCTCATTGGAATACATTTTTTATTTTATGTTTGACGTCACCTCTCACAGTTCTGACATATGATACCGTCTGGCTGTCAAAATTCCATTGACTGAATGATTATTGATTTTAAAACAGTAAGAAGATCTAGTAGGAAATAAATGAAAATGAGCCATTCATTCAGAATTTGAAATACAAATCAGTCTTATCTATATGATTTAATTCAAAAAATACGAGTACATTAGCAACTAGTGTCCGATCCCCTGTTTCTTCGCTGTGTCCCAGGCTCGGGCTCGACGGTGACGGCGGCGGTGTCTCCGCTGGGCGCGGGCAGCTCGCCGCCGTCGTCGTGCAGCACCGGCAGCGACAAGGGCAGCCAGCACGCCGACCTCAGCGCGGTAAGTTTACTTTTTATTTGGCACGGTCCACGTTTCATCGTACGTTTCTGGTCAAATCTTCTTCCTTTGCCTCGCCTTATCCCGTTACGCGCTCTATCTTGAACGTCTTGTTAGTGAAGTCTCAATTCTTTCATGTCCTTTCGGATATTAGTCATCCAATGAGGGCTATCGTTTTAGCGCTCACCAGTTTGCGCCACTGTAGAGTAAGGTCCTGTCACTTGCTAGTAGCGAAAACAGTGGCACCAACTGGTGAGTGCTAGTGGTAGGAGGACTATCGCATTTGCACTCATCAAGATGGCGCCACTGTAGAGTAAGGTCCTGTCAATCGCCAGGGGTGCCAAATGTTAAGTATAAAAACGATAGCCCTCGTAGTCTGTCTTCCTCTTTTTTGCAGCGATGGTGTACAGTGTCCCAAAAAGCTCGGACCGTGGTTGTAAAATAAAACACTGATCCAAGTAAAGTGAAGTATATTGAACCTTAATGTTTTAACTTAAATAGCCAGGAAAAAATCAAATGATATCGCGATTTAACGAAGCACATCGCCATCTAGCTACGCAATTTCAGAACCTATGACTTTTGACATTTTCCATTACTATTTTCTAAACTATGACAGACGCAATCTCAAACATAACCGCCCACCATGAACACCGTGCGGTGTTCATCATTAACATCAGTATCGCGTACATGAGACTTCGACAAAATACCTATAACTTAGTTATTAGTTAAGTTAAAAAGTAGTGTACTTGATACCTGATTGGACTGGTACGATATGATAACATTCGCTTGTATAAAACTATCAAAACAATTAAAATGACTTAAGAAACAAAACATAGTTGACACTTCAATACTTAAAACATAACACATCTAATAATTATGCTATGTGAGACTTGTGCGAGTACAGTTGCTTACGACTTCAACAAATCCTAATATTCAAAACCTAACAATAGTAAACGAGACATCAATTAGGCTGCCACAGGTAAGACACATAATTTCGAAACAGGTCATTATATGGTAGAGCTTTTGCATAACACGTTAGCCAACGAACAACACGAGTAATTATTGTCAGTGACGGGAAGCTTGTCAACAAAGATGTCATAAAGCCAACGAGCCGGGGAAGATCATTCTCTTTCACTAGCCCTACGTTACCTATTTTGGGTACCTGTGAAGACCTGTGATGTCTCTGTAGAAACTGAGCTAAGTATTTGAGTATTCTCTGAGAGAGTTGCCATCACTGAAGACTACACATTGCAAACCACACATATTGCTTATGTTTTTCTAAATTGGTATCTTGGCTANAAAAATTATAATGACAACGAATATTTTTAAAAAATATGTAAAATGAATAATTTCAAATACCAATTTATTCTAGTGATATTAAATTTGCAATTAAAATTTATTTTAATTAAGCAAACAAAATTAATTACAATGAACAAATTAATAGATAAAGTCTTTAACCAATTTCTTTTAAAAGTATTGAAATTTATATTTGATGAAGTAAACTGCAAATTAATATCAAATATTTAAAAATGTGTTAATAATGTTATAATTTTCGACATTATTCGGACTTCAAAATTACTTACTTAATTTGACCCTTCTACGTTAAATTCTTATTTTCTAAAAAAAATGACACCAAATAATTACACAGTGGCCACATGTGAATTACATAAGCAATTAGTCATAAAAATGATTTAAAAATATTTAATGATTCGAATGTAAAATTAATATTACTTGATGTTTCCGATAATGCCTTTCTTGCTCGAGTTTTATCACCCGGCAGCACTCATCACCTTGACACGAACTCTCCCAGCAGCCAGCAATTAACCAACATCTGNATTAACATAAACGCGATATACAAATAAATGTGACTTGAAAAAAGACCTAACTTTGAGCTCACCTCTGGGATCAATTAGACCAATTTTTATGGTTATAAAACCAAATAATGATCTCATGTGTCCTCTTTAACAGATGGATAGCGATTAATCCCAACTTAACAGTATTAAAACCATAAAAGTTGGCTCAAGCGTAACTACCTATTTTTTTAAAAATTGACTCTGGATCCTTCGAAAAACACATTTTTGGGGTAAAAACCTTTCCTTTAGGCCTAATTCACACGAGAGCTTTTTTAACGTCCGTTAAAAAAGCGTTCAAATAGAACATATGCATACCCAAGTACGTGTTCACACGTCGGCGCTTTTAAAACGCGACGCTTTTTTATCGAGCAGTGTTGCATTTTCAACGCAGAGCGTTGGGAATAGGCTTGGGTATGCATATTATGTTCTATTTGAACGCTTTTTTAACGGACGTTAAAAAAGCTCTCGTGTGAATTAGGCCTNGGCAACACAACCGATCAAGGACTTTAGTCCTGTGCAGTGAACGTTGATACAGAAAAAATACGTGTACAATATTTTTTATTATCTGTTTAATGGACAAAAAAAATTGTCATTTACCTTATTTCCTAATGGCTTCAATCTGCTCCCCAGCCGCAAGCAGCCGACGGCCGGCTCACTAGGCGCGTCCGCACAGGCGGCGCTGGAGCGAGCGTTCCCGGGCGGCGCCGCCTCTACCTTGTGCCGCTACCGCACGCGCGTCGATCCCGTGGCCGGCGAGCTGGCCGCTAAGGACGCTGACGAGAAGGCCAAGGAAGCCGATGAGAAAGCAACCAATGGACAATTGAACGGCAGTGATGACGTGGACGATGACAACGAAGACGATATGTGAGTTTCTTTTTGCTACAGGTGTTATCGGTGCATGTGCTGCTATGACATTGCACGAAAATTGTGATGTGGTCTCTTGAAACAGTTACATGTCTGGGTAGACCCGGTTGCTGTAAATGTAATGCTTGTATAGAAAATGTCTAGAAACAGCAGCCGAGTTATTAAACGGTAATGTAGATAACACTGAAAAAAATTTTTGGTTACTGCTTGCTTACACAACAAAAGTGACCAATTATTTGTTTAATTTACACAACATTTTGTTCCTCATAACCAAAGTGTTCGGTGGTCACTTGTTGTGTAAGCAGTAACCAAAATTTTTTTTCAGTGTATATAGTGGAACTTAGCTGTATTCGAAATCCTTCTTCTATCATGCGGGTCGCCGAAGCCTGTAACGTCGCAACCAAATGGAGATCAAATACACAAAGTGACTTAACACTTTGAGTCGGACACTGAGTATCGAAACCTCCTCGTCAAGAATCTCATTCTCTTGTTGAATGAAATACATCACCGACACTACGAGAGATTATTGAATGAAAGGCTTTGTGGTGTAAAATAAAATTATATTGTAAAATAAAATCAAATTACATGTTTTGTTCAAGAGTAGAAAAGTCAAGAGAGAAGAGAAAAAAGTGACAGTAGTATAAACATAAAAAGTAAAAAGAAGTTTCTTGCCTGCCAGGCGCGCGGCCAAGAAGTTTGGTCGCACCTTTGCGACCTCTGTTACAATTTTACTAGGCCGTATTCAAACAGACCTGTACACTTGTCATTGGAGCTTGGAGTCGGTAACTTATTCTCCTGTATGCGTAGGGACCGGCGCACGTCGGCGCTGGTGGGGTGCGCGCTGCACTACCGCATCCGCGGCGCCTGCCCCCACGAGCTGGCTGCGCGGAACGCCGCCGTCGCGCGCTCCTACAACCGGCACATGGTACGCACTACTACTTAGTCTTGATCACTGGCACTTGGCCTAGAAGCTTGTCATGATCATCGTAATCATTTAGGGTTTGCTAAACTATGGGTCACGACCCAGTGGTGGGTCGCGAGCGAACATTGAGTGGGCCCTGCC